GGGACACCATGGATATATTTAATTGTGTTACTGTCATCACCACTCTTCACGATTAAATCAAGCTCTTGACGCAAATTTTTCAGATGAAGTTGTTGAGAGGGAGTTAGATCAGTCTTGAAAATAAAACCTGAATTTTCGTCTGTTGGTCTGTATTTGATAATGGAAAGTGCATCGGCTGCTGAGCGGGTGGTAATGTGAAGAGGACGTGTACGTTCAGGTATAGGACGACCCAGTCTACGTAACTTGAGTTCAGTGGCCTCATCCTTTAGACTGGGAGGCAAAGCTGTGACTAACTTTGTTCTGTCATCCTCTAAACGGTCCTTTCCAGCAGCTTTATCAGACTCAGGAATATTTAGGGCAATCACGTTGGTTTCACGGCGTTTTCGTTCCGACAGTTCAGTGAAAAACTCTTCCTGGCTGGTAGGCAGCCTCATATCTACGTTTAGCTTGTCTTCAACTGATGTAAGTTTGTCATCCAGGGCAGAACATTGATTTGATAGCGAGACGTTTTGTTCTGACAGTTTGCTTACCTCTTTTCTTAAGTCCTTGATTTCACTTACAACTGATTTTTTTAGGTCCCTGAACTCACGTTCATAATTTGTTGTAAAACGTTCAAAGTGTCTCTTGAGTAAGGTTTCAATATCCTTTGACGGTGGCGGATCATCTGATGCCTCCTAATCGGAATCCAATACGTCACATGTCTTAACACTAATGTCACTTGCACATAAGTCACAGTTCCAAACTGTTTCTTTTTTCTTAATGCTGTTGGCGATGGATTTAAACTCATCGGATGAAAGGTTGGTGCACTTTGAGTGAAACCAACGTCGACAAGCCGCACATTGGATACTTGGCTGCGTTTTATCCCGGATTATGTCTGAGCAATAACCACAAATCTGTTGTGTTGTATTTACTTTTTTGGGTGGCATTTTGTAAGTACACGATACAGGAAAAAAAGATATGTTCCACATAATTCAGAAGTAATTCTTTTATTTTCGTGTATTATCTATGCATTCATTCACTCTATGATGTCTAATTCACAATCAATGTTAATGTTTGTTATGCTTTTTATTATTACTCACAATATTACGTCGCACACACCTTTCTTTGTTGTACGAAATTTAATTTTGGTTTAATATCAAAATTTAATCGAACTTTTCTTTGTACATCCTTTATATTTTCTTATAAGAATTATTATTTCCTTTTAAGGAAACTTATATGAGGCATTAATTTAATATTCTTTCACATTTATATATACGATTGATGTAATATTTTCAGATATTACGGAGCACTTTTCACTATGCACACTGCACATGTTTACAGCTACCTAACCAAAAAACCAAATATGGTACTTGTGTTCATGACTCCTTAAAACAATTCGGTAAAATTTTCAACAATTCCGTAGCCGTGATTCTATTGAAAACACACAATATTTCAAACAAACTCGTTTTTAATATTTTTCTTTCATAGTAAAAATCACCAGACAAACTTTTTGCCTCGTAAACAAACTGCTGCGAAAAATACACTAATTGAAACATGGAGATCAAACTGTACAGGCACATACAAATGGTACAACCTTTCCCAATCCAAAAAAATAATATTTTTCGATTCGGTTTGTGCGCGTTTAAATGAATAAGTCCGGGTCAAATTTGATCAGATTGTCGTGAAAAGCTTTTCTTAAATATTTATATATTTTCAACAAAAACAAATACTGTGAACATGAAAGAGCTGTCTGAACCACTGTCTCATAGTTTGCTCGCACTACCAAATGCATTCGACTATTTTCTTCACGTGCTTTTAATGCATTCTTTTTAATTTTGTTTACTACTTATTCCTGTTTATTTTATTGCATTGCTTTTCGTACATTTAACGTTGCGCCAGCGGCGGCGTCATTTCGTCGTTGTCGTGCTGCATAAGAAAAACGAAAAGAAAATTGCCAACACACATTCGAGCCACAGTCAACCTCGTCAACCAGGGGTTTCGCGCTGTTGCTGAGTTATCAACAATGTTGTTTGTTGTTCGCTAAACGTGTATACGACAGAGTTCATCGAGTGATGGCTATCAATGCATTTGTGTACTTGTATAAGTGAGCACTAGTCGGTATATCACACTTTGGTTATTTTTAGCCTTTTAGACTTGAGACAGCGGCCTTACTAATGCCACAACAACAACAACCTGCACTATGCATGCAAGCCACAGGGCAGGGTGTGGCATTGATTATTGTTGTGGTTTTTGTTGCAGTCGATGTGTGTATGTATATACATATTTATTTACGAAGCGTGTAGTTCTTATTTTTTAGTAGTCGTCTAGTAGTTTTCGTTGTTGTTCTTTTTTTTTTAGCTTTTAGCAGAACATTGTTGTAAAAGCATTGCAATTGAAAATTGCTAAAATGTCTACTCTTCTTTTTATCGAATAATGCAACACGTGTCAGCTACTGTCATTGTTTGCCGGTGTCTGTCTGCCTCGTACTTTTGACGATTTTTTTTCACTGCGTGCAGCAGCTGACATCTACATATCTACATTAATGCATGTATAACAAAATACTAAAACCGGTTAATCCGGATTTTTGCCGGCGCTATAGTGATTTATCTCTATATATGTATATATACATAGTGTATATAAATTATATACATAAAGTATATATAAATTACGAAAGTACAGTTTTACGTGCATTAAATAAAACGTTATGCACATATATTATCTTTAGATATATAAAATGCGTACGAAATGTGTGCAAAATGAGAATTCGCAACTTATACTTGTTGGCGTTTTATATAGAGTGGCTATCAAGCCCAAAAGGCGCGCCGAATGCTTTCAAAACAATTGTATTTAAAGAACCATAATAAAATGATGACTCTGACACCAAAAAAAATATGTATTGCTATGAATTCGCAACTTCTTTTTTTTTATGAAAATTAATTTGTTTATTATTATTAGCGCTTGTTTCCTTATTTTGTCTAGTATTTCAAGAAATATGCAAGCTGATTTGCTAAGCGTTTTATTAATATGCGCTTGTAATTGTAAAATATGCAATCCAACACTCTTTAGACTTTCTGATTTTAATACGCTATGTACAAGTATGTATGTACCTTTTTATACGCCGGAATGTTGTCGCATCTCAAAGTCAACTACATTTCATTGACCTCGTGGATAGCGTTGTAGTATTTCTGGTTTATATTTGATATCTGTTTATGTTCCTAATATGCATATGGATGCATAAACGCATACATATATGTATATATAGACATGTGTGACAATGTACTTATGCGTATTATTGCTGATTTATTAAATACAATATATTGAGTGTGGATTATAGACGACTTGCAACAGTCATCTATTCTTAAATTTGCGCAAATACAAAATTTGAACTTCGGCAAATTCCTATATTCACTTTAAAGTTGACGTAGGCCACAATCAATTCCGATAATGTTTTAAGAAATACGCAAGACAGGCGGCCAAAAAATGTAAATAGTGCTTATGGTTCTGATATTCTAACAGGCAATCACTCGCAATTTCGGTTTCATCGATTCATTTCTGTTCCAGTAATTTTGGTGTCAAGGTTGCACCACGCTATGGGAGGCCAATATTCAAAAACATCTATAAAATAATGGAAATCGTCGAATCCAAACGTTATGTAAGCACTGTTTTGATTGCTCAGTAACTGAACATTGCACAAAGAACCGTTTGAAACCATTTATATAAGGCTGCAAGCATAGAGATGATGCTCGATGTCTGCACATGTCATCAAGTGATTACCTAGTACACCTGTTCCTATCTATGACAAATGATTAAGCTTGTAAAAAAAAAGGGCTCAAGAGAAGCGTAAGAAAAGTATTTCAAAAGCAGTTTTATATACCATACATACGAGGTGTGTTCAAAAAAAGTGAATTTTGTATTTTTTTGAAAATTACTTATTTAATCATCAATATATATTTTGTCGCCTTCAAAGTAAACCCCCTCAGTTATAATACACTTGTGTCAACGCTTTTTCCAATCCTCGAATCACTTCTGAAATGCGCTTTTTGGTATGGCCATCAGCTCTTTCTTAGATTCGGTCTTGATTTCATCAATTGTGGCAAAACGCTTTCTTTTCATTGGTGTATTGAGTTTTGAGAATAGGAAAAAGTCGCAGGGAGCCAAATCTGATGAATACGCTGGTTGAGGCATGATTACGGTTTTGCTTTTGGGCAAGCTGGTGCATTATCGTGATGCAGAATCTATGATTTGTTTTGCAAACGTTGCATAACTTTCTTCTAGTATTTCTTATTAACTGAACGAACTTTTGGCAGGAGCTCACAATGCACCACGCCATTGTAATCAAAGAGAGCCGTAAACAATATCTTCACATTTGATCGAACTTGGCGTGCCTTTTTCGGTATTGGCTTATGTGGCAGCTTCAATTGGGATAATTGGGCCTTGGTTTCGATGTCATCACCATATACCCTCGTTTCGTCACCAGTTATGACCCGTTTGATCAAACCCGGATCGTTGTTGACGTCATTCAACAACTCTTGATCAATACTAATGCAACATTGCTTACGTTTAAAATTTACCAAAATTTAGTCAAAAATCGAAGAGCACCCAAAAAGGTGACTAACCTTTTCTGTTGTCAAAAACGAACTACTAATCGAAATTGATTCTAATGCAAGCACATGATAAACATATGTGTCCGATTATAACAAAAACAAAATACCGATAATCGATTCACATATTTCTTTAAATACACCGCGTATGTATGAATTTCTGATTTTTTTTTTATAATTTTTTTTTTTTTTTAGAAATGAGAAAGTTTATAGAAATAAGTATAACCAGAACAGTAAATGATATTTCAAGTATTGTATATAATATTGAATTGCAATAAATGTTTAAGAGAAGTAAGTTTAAGTTAATGCAATCACCTTACGCGTATTAAATGATGGCTCCAGTTAAAGCGTTTTTAAATTATATAGAAATAAAAATGTAAAGCAAAAATGTATGTATACGTATATTCTTTTCTTTCGTAGGATGCGCTTATCCTGCATAATTGCGAATATCTGATGAGCCTTGACTACAATGTGTTTCAAATAGATAACACTGGTGGCGTATTTTCTGCCGGCTACCCGCCAACTATTTTTGTGCCCGAATCCGAACATGACCACGTGGCAATAGTCGGTGATAGTTCGGCGCACGTATCGTGTAATTCAAACGGCACAAACGGTTTCGAAAGTGCTAATGGCAGTGACTGTAATGCAAAAAATCGAAAACCCTACCGTCATACCAATGGGAGCAACACGCGCAGCATTACTCCGACACTTGAAAATGAGAATAGCAATGGAAATAGTTGTGATAATTACACAGGGAATGGCAGTGATAGCGATAGTAGTATTCAATCGTTTGTTACCGTCTCACGACCACAACGTCCGCCAAAACAGCGTACCATCTATGAAGAAATGTATGATGCCAATAGAATACGTGATCTTATAACTCGTGCTCGATATGCACGATGTCGTCAACGTTTCGTTGCGCCTGTTATATATTTTCGTGGTCAGTACATTTGCCGATCAGCTACAGTATCTGTGGTGCACGAAACTTATTCTCGGTACGCTTACGATTACATAACATCGGGGAGTACCAACGAAACACAACAACGAACGCATGATGAAGAAAATCCTGATTCTTCGGATGATTCATTAGTAAATGATTCGCCATCGCCATTTTCCTACAGTGAAGTGATCAGAAGTGACATTGCCCTACTAAATACGCTCAATATCAAAACTATCGCCGATTTGATGGTTGAGCAAAGGAAGATCAAATTCTTTATAACGTAAGTATTTCAGTTATGAATGTGAGAATAAAGTAAACTAAAATGTAAACACAAGCTGTTTATATGGTTTTTACATTTCCTTTTCCTTATAAACTGATTTTTATAGCCTGAAGTAAGTTTGCAACGAAGTTTATAACACCCAGAAGGAAACATCAGAGATCCTATAAAATATATGTATATTTCAATGTTCAGCGTGACGAGCAGAGCCGATTTAGCCATGTCCATCTGTCTGCGTATAAATTCTGTATTGTACAGGAGGGCTTTATAGGAGCAGGTGTCAAAATGGGCACGGCACCGTTCCACATTTAGGTGAAATCACTTCGGACCTATGTACTTAACTAATTTCAACCAATACATAGGATTATTTTGATATTCCCATGTTACAGTGCGACTGCAACCACGCCTACCTCCCATATAACATAACTTTATATTCTATATGATTTTTTCACTTTCCAGTATACAAATCAAACACCAATTAATACATCGGGATGCAACTTTGCACGAAAATCGGACGATAACTAATCAAGCCCCAGATAGCGGAAATGTAGACCCATGAGACCTATTGCTGACTTTTTACAGAAAATATCGGTCAATGTGTGTGATATATAATTGATATTAAGAGAGAATCCTTTTCTCATAATAGTATGTCTGTATGTAAAAAATGGGTTGAATCGGGCCAACATTTCCCTTAGGCCCCATATACCTAATAGAAAGATTTTCGAACTACCAGTTGACTTTATATCCCGTATATAGCCGTCATACACATAATATCAGGATTTTCAAACATTTAGTTGCCTTTACTCCTTATAACTGGTGATCCAAGTAGAGGTACTTTTTTCAATAGCATTACGCGTGAGTCGTGTCAAGCTGTTATATTATTTTTATTCAATATTGTTTGGCATTTCATCATGGAAAGACTCACGCCTGAAGAACGTTTACAAATCGTTCAACTTTATTACGAAAATTCACGTTCTGGAAATAATGCCATTCGCTCAACTTATGGTCAACATAATCGGCATACTGAGCGTACCATTCGCAACTCCATCACTCATCTTAAGACCAAGCATTCCTTTTTGGATAATATTCGACCTTCCCAAGCGATATCGTTTCGCTCTATGGGCTCTTGAAAAGTTCCAAGAAGATCACGTGAGGGTATTTCACCGGATTTGAATCTCACTAATTGCAATAGTATGAAATGTTCGGCTACACCCGAACTTAGCCCCTCCTTACTTGTTAGGAGTTGGTATTGTTGTTTAACGAATCTATTTTTTTTTTCTTTCTAAAATGTATGTACATATGTATATTATATGTAAACCAATTTATAATAATCTTTTTTAATTGTAGCATATCCTCATCGGAGAAAGCCGATCCTGAGCATAGCTATAAAAATTTCAATTTACTCGCCCTGCCATATCCCGGTTGTGAGTTCTTCAAAAAATTTCGTGAATATAATTATATGGCACCTAATTTGCATTACAATTGGAAAAATCCATTTAACAATGCCAATATAAGTATACCGAAAATCGGACCAGCAATGGATCTTGACATTAACTGGGAGGAATACCGAAATTGGGATTTGGTAGTGATCACACAAAATTACCTTAAAGCAATGCTTAAATATGTGCAGGAAGAGAATAGTGGCCTTTTAGTACATTGTATAAGCGGTTGGGATCGCACCCCACTGTTCATCTCTTTGCTACGCCTATCGCTTTGGGCGGACGGTCTTATACATCAATCACTAAATTATATACAGATGACTTACTTCACATTGGCATACGATTGGTATTTATTTGGGCATCAACTTCCAAGCCGCGAGAAACGTGGCGAAGATATTATAGTCTTTTGTTTTCACATGCTGAAATTTTTAACCAGCGAAGAATTCAGTTTAGGCGAGCATAGGTAAGTTGGATTATTTGAGAATTTATTTTTCTGCTACCGAGTAACTAAATAAAACTGGGTAATTAAATTATTAAACTAATATTATACCCTATTAACAGTCACACCCAGAAGGAAACGTCGGAGACCCTAAAATAAATATAACCTATATATATTATGATCAGCATGAATATTTCAGTCGATTTAGCGATATCCGTGTGTATGTCCGTATATGAGATAACGATGTGAAATTTTGCACACGTCGTTGTCCCTAAGGAGAAATTTTTCAGACCGGACCACTATAGCATATAACTGTCATACAAACTGACCCTATCACTACTTAAAGTACCATTGCTCACTGAATAAATGAGCCACAAGCATTCAATTTCACAACCAAGATGGTAGAGGTCTTTATAGGTTGTGGTGTGAAAATTGGACAAGGGGCGTGGCACCGCCCACCTTTAGGTGAAATCCTATATCTCAGGAACTAACAAATTCGGTGTGTGAGATTACCCAAAAATTCCTATAAGACACTGAAAAATGAGCGTGAATTAACATGTAACAAGCTTTTAAATTACGTCTGATTCTTTCACTTTACAGTATACAAATCAAACATCAATAAATTTATCAAAATAAAACTTTGCATAAATAGTGTCCTCAAGGTATTTCATGTTGCGTCCAAATATTGTCGGAAACGCACTATAACTTATGTAAGAAATCTTATTAAAATATAGAAATAATCTTTTTCCAATGTATCCTCTTTCTTTGAATGGATGAAATCACGGCGATACTGTCCTCCGCTTTGTTCCTTGCACGTTGCAAGAGTATAAAACGTTCGGTTACACCCGAACTTAGCCTTTCTTTACTTGTTTTATTTTTGCTTAGTAATTTAATCATTCACTTAAGGTTTTTTTTTTTTTGGTTTCATAGAAAACGAACAAAAACAACCAGCAGTAGTGGTAGTTGTGGGCTCGCACCAAAAATGGAAGATGACGCCGCTTTAAGAGAGTAAATTGCATATTAACACCGAATTAGCTTTTCTCCATTTTAATTTTGTTCGCTTCTTTTCAGAGAACTATTTTTAGCCGCCTGCGATCATGATAGTAATGATAGTTTTTCAAATAATTCCAACTGTGATTTGCAAATAACTGACACATTAAACGCTATTACAATACCCAACACATCGTCACAAGCAACAACGACCAATAATACTACAATTCCTAATCGTTCACCTAATTCTAAACGGTATGTTCAACCATACAAAAATATTTGTATAAACACGTAATAATTCGTAATATATGATCTTACAAACATAGCACACGCACAAGTCCTATGCCGGTGCCAGGTGCAAATTCGGCGCGTCAACGACAAGAATCGGTATCATCCAACAGCAGTTGGCACTTAGTGACAGAAACTGGCTCCATAGATTCCGTTGTAGCTGGTAGTTATATGCGTAATCATGCTGCACAACGTTCAGAGAGCGGTTCGGTGAATTCAAACAGCAGTACTCAATCCAGTAAACGCTCCAATGGCAGCACTACAAAGAATAGTGGAAGCGACACAGTAGATAGCAGTCCAAGTGCTCATAATTCAAGCGGTGGCAGCAATATTAGTGGCACTAGTTTTAGTAGTGCTGTAAGCAGCCATAGCGGTGACACAAATAATACTACACTGCCAACAACAATCGAAGGCACCGCGAGTGCTAGTAATGGTGAACAAGCGAAATCGTTGTCACCGAAACCAAGTGACGATCGATTTCTGACTGAGTAAGTTGATTCTCCACACAATTTGTTTTTATAAAAGTTTTAATTTTTGTATTTTCATATAGACGCGAGAGACGTTTAAATAATGTTCGTGCCATCTTCGTTCGTGCTTATGGTAAAGGTGTGGGCCTCAAATTGAGGGAAGGTAGCGGCATAAATCTTGGAACGTTCATTTCAACTTTATTCTGAAGTGATGGATATAATTTGAACAAGCGACGTAAATTAAGTGTACACAAACATACATACATATATACACACATAAAAACACACTTGTAATTTTACCAAATTCGTTTTTAATTTAATTTAGTTTTTCGTTTTTGTATTGTTTTATTATTTTTAAGGAAATTTAAAAGTAAATGTCTGCCATAATCGGTTTTATCAGGCAATTGTGTCCTTCTTACTGTTTGTTAGAAAAATTTACATACGTTGTACCCTAATTAAAATTCAAAAAACGGTTGTCATACGAAATATTTTATTATATGCCAAAACAAATTTTATATTTACAAAAGCAGGTATGCACATTAACGAAATTGATAAAATAATATTTAGTTTTAATTTTTCCATATTGAATATTTGTTAGTGCACCGTTAAGTATTTCATACAAAAGAAAAACAGAGTTCTTCATTATACTTATGGCGTACGATAAATGTTGAATTAAAAAACATTTTGAAAATTAATCAACCATTTGCCCTAGAACACAAAAGCTACAATAAAGAAATTATGTGTTTCATTTAGAGTTTTTAAGTGAGCATTGCCCTCAGACTGGCCATTGCTTTAATTTTTTTTACTTTAAGTACATACATATGTTTGTATATCATATATTCTAATGGAGAAAACAACTCTGACTTGCTTCTTTTCGCATTTCACAATTAAATTTCATTCATTACACAAGTTTTTTTTTGTGTACTACAAGGAATGTGTTACTATATAAACTATAAATATATATCTGGGTTGTGTGTTCCCCAAAGATGAATGTATATTGAACGGTACGCATTTTTGAATTGCTGCTTATGTATTTTATGTTTTCACCGAGAAATCGCTGCCGCCACACTATTTTGTAATTTTGATATGAAATTTTGATATTAAAAAGTGTACTCGTGTGTGCATTTTCTTCCTGTTTTAATTTTTCTCTTTTTATGTACAAGTTTCACTTAAAAGAGAATTCACTAACTTAAAATTAAGCAAACTTAATTTCAAAAGAATCGAATGAAAATAAAGATAAATCCAAAAGACGATGCAAAATTGTATTTATTTATCAAATGTATGTATATAAGTATAATTACTGTTATTATAAATAATTTACGCATTCATTAAATTAACCAATTACTATATAATCACTTATACTTATATTATATCTTTTCGCTTCCTATAACCTTTTCAAACTATATGAAATTAAGTGCTTTTGCGTTGTCGTTTTATACGTGACAGTGGTATGTAGTCTTCCATATTTGTTCGTTTTAATCGTATAATACAACGTCTAACATGTTTAGAAGCATCCTTTAACGGAACCCATTGTAACTTTGTATTAGTATTAGTATCAGTCAGTTCCTTCTTAGCTTGACAAGAAGGCTTAAATATTTGAGACCCATTTCCCATTTCCACTTCGAAATCTATGATGTTCAACGATTCATATTTCGTATCTGAACTGCTATCGCTACTTAAACAAATTTCGGAAGTTCCATTCGATGTTGTACTAGTCACAATTTGCTCCTGTGCATTATCTGTTTTTTCGTTCACGAAAGTAATGTCTGTGGATTTTAAAACGATTAGTTCTTTAAGATCCATTAAATTGAGTAATTCCTCATATTCATCTTCAATATTTTTTAAATGGGTGTATGTTAATTTTACGGTAGCTTTTGATTCCAGTTCGGCGTTTAATATCAGGTCCATCATTTCAGCTTCCAACTGCAGACGTCTGTTTAATGGTAACTGTGATACCATTTTCATATTGTCATATATTATTTGTTGAGCACTTGACAAGTTATTCACACGCACATCTGTAACTTGATCTTCAAGTTGTATGCTTATTTTCACTATAATTTGACGCAATGGTTCCGGAATAGCGGTTAAATCCAACATTTTTGCCATTTTCTTTATGATAGGTTGTAATTTGTTCCAACGCCGTTGTAAGTCATCCTTGGTAAAATAGACTGCTGGCAGGAATCCCGTATAGCTCACATTAAATGTATACGTAATGCGATTCCAAGCCCAATCGTCATAATCAGGATCTTGAAATGGTCGCACTCGTGGGTTGTACAAAAACGGATACAATTGTATTAATTCCAATAGTTTTTCATCATTTAACACTACACCTCCGGCGGAGTCAACATTATTAACATTAAGCACTTCGACATTAGAATAACCCTTTGAATCCGTAGGATAACACAAAATTGTACTTGAAGGTTGCTCTGACTCCATAGCAATTTTTTGTATAAAACCTTACTAATCACTTCTACATCCAAATAAAGTTAATAAAATACAAACAATATGAAAAATCAGTGAACGATAGGGTATGTTGAATCAATGCCCATGTAAAATGACATTAGCATTGTTGGCAATTTAATATAGCACGATAGCTCCATTGTCCATCATATTTAATTTTTGGAGATATGGTGTTATTTGAAAACTTATTTATTTAATGCAAAGTAAAATAATTTAATAAGAGATATATGTAGATATTTCGCATTCAGTAAAAATTGTAATTGTTTTGCATTATTTTGTCGCAGCATTCACAATAAAACTTACGTTTTATTGTCAAACACATGAGAACAGCTGAAATGTATTGTAAATAATTGCTAGGTTGATAAATATGGAATGTGGAGTTCGGAAAACAGACAGCTTTGTCAAGGACATTTTTACCACAGATGATAAATGCCTTACCGATGAAGAAAAAACTCGTTTAAAGGCACAGAACAAACGTCTGGTACCGGAATTTAAGGCAAAGAAACTGGAAGAACAAGCTCAGCGTCATTGGGATATATTTTACAAACGAAATGAGACTCACTTTTTTAAAGACCGCCGTTGGACAACACGTGAATTTGAGGAATTGTTGGATTTTGAATGCGAGACCCGTAATGGAAAAATTGGGTGCAGTAAAGAGCAGCGGCGTTTGTTTGAAGTCGGTTGCGGGGTGGGAAATTTAATATTTCCATTAATAGAGGAACAACACGAGAAAAAACAGGAAGCGAAGAGTTCCTGGTTTTATTATGCCTGCGACTTTTCGCCTCGTGCCATTGATTTTGTGCGTTCAAATCCACTGTACGATGAGCAGCGTATAGACGCTTTTCAATGTGACATTACCACTGAACAAATATACGCACATATCCCGGAGACCTCTTTGGATATTGTTACAATGATATTTGTATTATCTGCTATACATCCGAATAAATTTGGTATTGTTGTAGAAAATATTTACCGCTTACTGAAACCTGGTGGTGTTGTGCTTTTTCGAGATTATGGACGTTATGATATGGCACAATTGCGTTTCAAACCAGGCAACAAAATAGCAGAGAATTTTTACATGCGACAAGATGGAACAAGGAGTTACTTTTTTGCAGAGGGGGAATTGGCGTCATTATTTACAGACTCTGAAAGGTTTGAAGTTGTTGAAAATTCGTATGTGCACAGACGTACTTTGAATATTAAAGAAGGTATAGATGTGCCTCGGATTTTCTTACAATCCAAGTTTCGCAAGAGATAACTGTAAATACGACAGTACAACGGATATTATTTTTGTTTATTGAAAATCGTTTATTAGTTGTATTATTTTAATTTAATATTAGTTAACATTTTTTTAATAACATGGAATAAATACATTTAAATATCATATATCTAATTCTTTGTTTTGTGATTCAAAAGGAATAATTATAGTAAGATTACCATTTTTTGCTAGTGGCTTACTGACTAGTTGTTTATTCTATTATATTAACTAAACCTTACAAAGAAAATAGTGATGTATGTTATTTACATTGGAAGGGAATTGAGCTAAAGTTTGTATTAAACAAAATAAAGAAGGAATCAAGACAAACTAAAATATTTTAATGCCGTAATTTTGCAGTTTATTCGTTTAGCAAATCAATTTGCAATTGATGGTGCATAGTCCCTGTGCTTATAGCCATTTTCCAACCATTATTTAATTTTTTTTTTTTGTATATCAATATAAATACATGAGTAATATATAAGTTTTTAGGTATGCACTTTATATGGTAAATCGCTTCTATTATTGTACTATAAAATCGGTATTGTAATGAATAAAACATTCAAAAATAAATACTTATATTACTGCCAGGTAATTCAAAAGTCACACATTTATAACCTTCATGTATATTCATTTCGAAATTGATAGTTTTTATTCAAGATAAGAAAATTTCCAAAACTTATGTATGCAGTTTAGGCCAAAGTCATTTTTTTTTTAGAGAAGAAATGAACAGATGTGAAATTTGCAAACAATGTTTCCCAACTGATTTTAAGTACACATTTACTGCAGTACACAATAATACCATAATTTTTGCTCTTCCGTTGCATGTGTCATTTAAATGTTCGTGCACAAAATAATATAATATTGAATGTGTAATAACAATTTATATTAGATTTTCGTGATAGTTTACTAAATTGTATTGAATTTGTGTTTGTTTTGCCTTAAATCTATTAACACCGAATCACCAGTATTCATTCATTCTATTCATATCTAGCAACAAATATTTATATATACATATATTATTTATTCTTAAGTTAAAATTGAAGTGCAAATAGATATTGTAATATTTAACAGTTTTAAGCATAATTGTCGCTCAATAAAAATAAATGTCGGAAGCTTTTCCCAACATTTGGCACACACGCAACAATCGTTTAATTGCTTTCAAACACAATTTAAATTCCTGGAAGCATTATAGCACTAATCTACACCCACATCACCTACTTTAGTGCTGCTTCCAACACCGATAGGGCCCACAAGCTGTGGCATTTCAATGCTTGAATCAAAACTTTTTGTTATCAAGTCACTGCTTGTGATTGAATTTGTATTGCTAGCTATGCTGCTGTTATTTAACATATTACTGCTTCCACCGCCCCCATTTATTTCACTGTCAATACTAAAGCTACCACTGCCATTCTCATTAGCAAGTACCGTTTGCATGGGCAACATTTCTGTGGTATCAATTGAATCGTATGTTTTGCCTTTCACGCCCACTGAAGATGGACTTTTCTCGAAATCGGTTAACGCTATATTATTGCCCTCAGCTTGTAATTGTAGCAAAGAGTTCCGTTGAGTGTGTTTTTCGAATTTCCGAAGCGGTGGCTTTGGAGGCTCGCCGGCCGCTCCAGCTCCAATTATTTTTCCATCCTTTTCTTTCTCTTTGTCTTTATCCTTTTCTTTGTCTTTAGACTTTTTGAAACCAGCAATTAACGCTTTATGTGCCTGAGCTTTTATGCCTTCCATGCTAGGACGTATGATAGAATTTCGCGATGACGTATTTTGTGTTTGTTGCTGGTCTTTAAGATCGACTTCTTCAGTAACACTAGCCAACATCGGAGGAGCTTGTGGCATTGTGAGATCCTGAACTTGTATGGGGATATCATCAGGTAACTTTTTAGTACGGAATGATGCATTCGTGATCATTGATTTGGAAATGGCTGTGGTCACAGTATTCGTGGCAGGTGTAAGGGCTACGCTAAGTCCCATAGGCCCATCACTTGGCTGGCCGGAGGGGTTTGCGTGTAATGAATTTCTCACCGCACTCGTCACAAGTATCAGCTCCGTATACATTTCAAAACATGCACGATGATGGATGTCGTCTAATGTTTGTATAGCCACAGTTCCAAAACCATTAAACATTGCAAAGTATATAGCATGTACCAACTCTACTAGGAATGATGAGGAAAGTGGAATACGCGGTATTATTGACTTTGGGACAAGTGCGCCACCCGAATCAGAACTTAAGAAATTCATATTAGCGTTATAAAACCATGTTAAATTAGGAGTGTGTCATATACTTACCCATAAGAGATTCGATGTGCGTGTTGCTTTGAAAAGCCTTGATTAACTAGCTGCGATGCCACACGACAAAGATGTATTAAAGCTGATTTTTGCGTAAGACTAACTTGCTGATTATAACAAAACATTAATGCAGTCATAATACGTAGCCTATTCTGCGCGGTAATCGCCTCAATCTGAGCATGTGGGCCCCACTTAATTTCTCGGTTGCAGTTTTCTTCCCAACGCCGCAAATCTGTCATTGGCAAATTTTTTTCCTCATGGTATACTGACGCTTGTGCTAATATCGGCATTCGGAAAGTAACTAAATGTTGACCCCCGTCTTCAGTGGATATCTCCGCATTGTAAATGCATATTAGCAATGTTTCTACACTACGGGCACCTTTTTTGTCACCAGCCGCGACGGCATGCAGGTAAGTATAGATCAATACTGGAATGAACTGTAAAGGAAATTTTCGGAGAGAGTCCTCAGAAGCCCGATAAAATGAAAGGAATTGCTGACAAATTTCATGAACTAAAGTTTCGTGTCGTTGTCGTTCACTAAATATGGTATAAATGGCTTCAGCGATTTCAGGGTCGGTTTCATGCTCCACAGCGAAGGTTGTAACTTCAGCTGGCTGGCCTTGTATACGGCGGTAATCTGCAAGCCAGTCTTGTACAATTGACTCCGCCATAGTAGTTTTCCACAGAATAGTTTGATTTCTTCTACAGATTAACAGATTTTTCCACGTGACATACACTTGTATTTAGATTTTAATAAAATTAATTAATGAATAAATGAAAATTTGTTTTTGACGTAACTTTTTACTGAATCAATTTATCAATTCGTCATTCAGGTGCTTCTTCAAAACATATTTACGAGTTCACAATAAAAGTTTCAAGGTGAAGTTAAAAGTCGATGTTTGATAATAATACTTATATTAACAAATGATTTAAGATAATAACTAAAAATATACAAGTATTCCCTTTGAAAATCCATTTAAACTAATATACAATTCTTTGATTGATTCAAATATGTAATATTATAAGTCATATTATGATATCTGAAAGACTGGCATCCCTTAGTATATCAACAACCGTTATTGCATCTGATCTGCTGTCACAAAATTAAAGTTATACCAGAGAATGTTAAATAAATCCAAATTCTCTGGTTATTCTGAGTAAAAACCCGTCCGCTCATAGTTAAATTGAAATTTCAGTTTGTCAATTAATTAATTAATTAAAATGCTTAAAAATATGCCGCATGTTTACCTATATCCACATGGTATAATATCATATTTTGTTTACAGCATTAAACATCATTCTATAACCAAAATTTAAAATATTTATAAATAATTATTAAGGCGTTTTCTGCTATGCGCATCCCGTTTTAACCCCTCTCCACTCTAACTCACCTTGGCCGTCATGTTGGCTTTGTTGTGAACGTACGCTTCAGAGGTGGCGAAACTACTGTGAATGGGACGCTACTCCCTTATACGATGGAAATATATAACAATAAATAAAAACAAATCGGACAGAATTATAAAAAAAATTATCTTGCAGATGAAAAATGATTCCTGGTGACATTGCTGATGACAATAACGAAGACGAAATAAATGATATTCAAAAAAAGTTTATTAATACAAAAGGGAAATGTAGTATGTATTTATTCCTGTGTTTACCAAACGAATGTGTTTTATTCACACTAATTTTTGCTTGCAGAAACACATTTTCGTCCGAATGACATATACCTTGAATTAAAACTAAAAAAACGTGTCGGTAAATGCAAAGGAGCAGCGCGGTTGCCTCCAACCAAGAGACCTGAAACTTTAATGGCACAAAGCGACAATGATAAACCACCAAGGAGTTATAACACTGTACACGGTGATATATGGTACAATGTTGCGGATCATATTAAACCTGAATATGTTCAAACCTTTGCTTTGATATGTCGTCAAACAGCAGAACTTGTTAATACACAAAGATTTTGGAAACAAATTTATAGAAGTTATTGCCAGAAATCGAGTGCTGATACCAATTCGATACTTACATTGCCTGAACAATTGCAGTCGCATAACGTACTTAACTGCAAGTTGGCCATAATGCGTGCTCGTGTGGTGGAATCACTATTTCTAACCTATTCACCATTATCAAAACGTATAGCGAAAGGGTATTCCCTAACTAAATTAATTGGATGTTCTTATGTATCTTCATGGCATGAACAAGAAGAGTGTGTATGGATATCATGCTATAAATTTTGCAACAGACGGCAAAACATTGCAGAAATCAAAGAAGGCCGTGATTTCAATGAAATTATCTCAAATGATTGTGAAATAGACGACTGGGAGGATTTGGCAGAAGGCAATAATTTGGATTCAAAACCAAAATATATTCCTGCCCAAAACCACATAAACGAAGGTGTGAGTTTGTTAGTAATACGCTGCGAGGGTTTTATACCATTCCCCACCCCCCACCTGTTTTCTGATAGTAAAGGATCGCGTGTAATGCTGTTAGGGATGCGACAAATGCTTGCTAAAGACATGAGCGCCATAAACTTACAATTAGATTTTGGAAATTCTTTTAGTAAAATTATTACTACTGTGAAATATCCAAATGTTGCAAGCGTTAAAGCTTTTCCTTGGTGGCACCCCGACTTCCGAAAACATATAGTAAATATTGTTCAATAGATTTTTTTAATGGACTTGTACAAGGCCTTAGTAAATTTAAAGGTAAATGTATGGTTTAGGTCCCCCAACCAAGGAGGCCTCAAAAATGAAATTTTTTTTAAATCGTCTTTTTTTTACGCGTAGATTACAAATCCGTGAGCGGAAAGTGAATTTTTTCAATATTTCTATTTTTTGTTTGTTTTTTCAAATACAAAATACATATAGTAAATATTGTCCAATATATTTTTTTTAATGGAATTGTACAAGGCCTTAGTAAATTTAAAGGCAAATGTATAGTTTAGGTCCATCAACTAAGGAGGCCTCAAAAATGAAATTTTTTTAAATCGTTTTTTTTACGCGTAGATTACAAATCCGTGAGCGGAACGTGAATTTTTTCAATATTTCTATTTTTTTTTTTTTTTTCAAATACAAAATACATATAGTAAATATTGTTCAATATATATTTTTTAATGGAATTGTACAAGGCCTTAGTAAATTTAAAGGCAAATGTATAGTTTAGGTCCATCAACTAAGGAGGCCTCAAAAATGAAATTTTTTTAAATCGTCTGTTTTTTACGCGTAGATTACAAATCCGTGAGCGGAAAGTGAATTTTTTCAATATTTCTATTTTTTTTGTTTTTTTTCAAATAAAAATTGTGATACATTTAAATTAATTGTTTTATTTTTTTCTTTGAAAAAATCACGGATTGTTCAGGCTTTTTGGTGTATTTACTCCTCTTCTTCATAAACGTTTCTGAAAATTTATATTAAAATATCAATGTTAGTGCACTTTTATTGTGATATTAATAATTACACATACTCTGCATCGTGATGAAAATTATCATCGAGGTTGAGAGCAGCGAAAAAGAGTTTGACGCGATTGAATTATGAACACCCCGGTTTTGGATCGACCAGGGTTATTTTTTTTAAGCGCGGCCGAAGGCCGCCACTGCAGAAAGCAGTTTGACGCGATTGAATTATGAACACCCCGGTTTTGGACCGACCAGCGTTATTTTTTTGAAGCGCGGCCAAATTTCGCCAGTGCGGAAAGGAGTTCGACGATCTCCGATATTCGGCCATACCATCAGATCGCGGCGCAAAAGAAATTGTGACTGTTACCTTCAGTATATTTTTTTCATAAGAAAATGTGAACGCTGAACTGATAATTACAGCTAAGTGATCTGAATTCTATAGAATTTTGCACAACTAAGTGACTTGAATATGTGATATGTGCAAAATGTGTTAAATAAATTTTGTAAAATATACATAAATTATTGAAAACATTCACTTACGACTCACGGATTTGTAATCTACGCGTAAAAATAAGACGATTTAAAAAAAAAATATTCGTTTCGATTCAAAAATATCGATTATCAAATTTTCGATAACAAACAAATCATTGCGACTGAATGAATGAAAGAAGCAGAGCAGAAAATATTTTGTTTGCGTGGACAAGTACAATAAAATATCTTTGTTTGATACATTGAAATAATAAAAATGAATGTGAGTTAAATTATCAGTTATTATGCTTGTATTAACATTTTACTCTTTACAAATGGTGTAGGAAGCAGATATTCCGATTGACATCCACACCTTGAAGCTGCAGGATTGGTTAGTAAGCAGAAGGATTGTACCCAAAACTATTCAAAAGAATATCAAAGATATACGAACAAAAATTTCAAATGCTCTCCAGGATATGCCAGCCAATGATCAACTGATTAAATTATTGTCGGGGACCAGTAAGTGACATAACTACCAAACTTCTACATGCGAAAAAATTTAAATCGCGTTTGTTCTTTTTTTTTTGTTTTTGCTAACAGACATAAACTACTACCATTGTAAAGAAATTGTTGAGATTCTAAAACAAACCGAAAAGGACACCAAAAGTGTATTTGGAACGTATGGAAGTCAAAGAATGAAGGACTGGCAGGAAATACTCCGTCTTTACGAAAAAGATAACGTCTATCTTGCAGAGTCCGCCCAAATATATGTGCGCAATGTGAATTATGAAGTACCTGGTGTTCGAAAGCAAATGACAAAATTAGAACAACAAAGTGATGAATGTTTAAAAAGGGTTCAAGATCTTGGCAAACCAGAATCACAGTTATTGGCCGAACATGCTTCACTTTTACAACAGCTGGGGGTGAAAGGCGAAAATTTGCGAGAAGAATTTTTACAAGTTTTGTCTAAGCTACCAGACATGTATGCCAATTCAATACGTGATGTTAGCAAATTAGAGGAGGCAATTAACTTATTCTCTGAAGGAAGTAATAAACAAAATTTACACATATTACGCCACCTGATCGAATTTGGCAACACAACCGTGTATCAATATGTGCACAAAGAAGAACCTTTAACTGTTGAAGAACCTCCAATTAAATTAAATTTAAATGGTGATACTTTGGCTAGTAGTACAGATGAAACTGAAATTGATTTTGGTGGCGATGATAACGGAGGCACCTCCTCAACAATATCGGCAGAAATTATTGATTTCGGTGAACTCAATTTAGATGGCAACAACAGCGCAATTGATTCGGATGGAAATGGAGGTGACATTGACTGGGGTGTTGAAAGTGGTCCGAATGAGGCTGTAGAGATAAATTTTGACATTCCTATTGAAGAATACGGTATAGTTATTGAGGGCACTGGCATGGATGGTGGAATTGCAAAAGGTAAATTATTTATTAATAATAGACAGCTCTTCTTATTAATATATTTCGTCTTTTAAAATAGGAGAACAAGCTTACACAATTCTTGATTCACCCACTTATCGGGATAGATTTCTCGATGAAATTTACGAACTTGATGCATTTTTACGTATGCGACTATTTGAACTTAACCAATTGGACGCTTCTAGCAATATTATGTTTTCGCTTATGGATAGCATTTTCACATATGATGCAGAGAGCATACGAAAAATGTTAAGGAACATTGAACTAATTTTAGGTGAAGTATGTAACGAGCAAACCCGTCACCTTTTCCAATTAAAACATTCGCCTAAATATGCTGATTTGCTGGCAACTAAGTTACGTCAAATGACAAAGGCCGTGAGTAAAATACGCGACACGAAAGAAGTTCTTAAAATACGTTCTTTGGAACTAAAACGACAACGCGTAGATTTGAACCCAGTTTTAGCTGAGCTAATATCACAAACGAAGAAGCTCCAATTACATATTGAGAATGATATTTCCAAACGTTACAAAAATCGTGTAGTGAACCTGATGGGAGGAGTAAACTAATGCATTGTTGATATATTTGTGACAATTATGTATAAATCTGCAATTTTTAAAATTCTCTGAAACATGTACTGTGTCTAATGCTGCTAATATTTAGTAGATAATAATTATAAAAACATCGGAAAATAAAAAACTCAGCATTCTCACAAAATACAATTTTAACATAAGTTATTAAAACAAAAATCTTGACTTTACATTGCACGCTATGCGAGCAACACATTTTGAGTTTTTCAATCTCTTCTGTAAGCCCGTTGTAAGGGATGCTGCCATATAATCATACATTTATTTAAAATGCAGATAGTTTTTTTATTGTTAAGAGTACAATGTAGTTAGGATATTTTCTAGCAATAATTTTTTTTTTAAAGGAAAAAGATTAGTAAAAATTATTTAAATATCGGTTAAGTCAGCTTTATAAACACATTTGTTCCAAAAACTTTACTTACGTTTGTTAAAAGTGGCAACTCTATTGTAGTCTGCCAAAAGAAAATAACATAAAACAGTTGTCAGATATTTTTCGTTCATTCATTCAGTCTTTGTTTTTCATTGCATCTCGCTAAATATAAAATCTAATAATTCCGAGCAAAAGGAAACAAAATTTTTCTAGTAACTAGTAAAGGAGAAAAAAGCTAAATCGACGCAAATTTTAATTCTATGCAAATAGTTAAATAATCTCATTTATCCAAGTTGTGTTCGTGCTGAAAATTGAAGTTCACGACAAATCCATAAACCAAAATACATACTTATTAAAACCAAAATTGTCCAACAATTGCTCAAAAGGATAGATAAATTGAAAACGGTAACTAATAAAGAAAACATATATTTTATAAAAAATCGAAAACGTAGGAATTAAAATTACGGCAGCAAGCGAAAGAAATAGCAACGGCGGCGTAGAAAACTTCGTTTAGCTAAATTTGCACATTTTTGGCAGCGCCGCCAGCATCAAGTTGAAGGATAAAAATTATTTATATATATCTACATAATAAAAATTAGTTATTAACAATATAAGGCGTTGAACACGACAACCAGTTGAGAGGATGACCTCTAATTTGCGTCAAATCCCATTGACCTGCAGTGGTCATACCCGTCCCGTAGTGCATTTGGATTTTAGTGACGTTTGCGAGAGCGGTTACTTTCTCATTTCAGCGTGCAAAGGTAATTATAGATTTACACAGCTTAAAATTTGCAGGGATTTACTAATTAATATATACAGTAATATTTTATTGTCGATGCTCTACAGTGATATAGACATTTAATTGTGATGTTGTTGTTGTTGTAGCGACAGAATTCTGCCGAGTGGACAGGCCTTGGCCGGAATAAATCCGGGTCCGTTCCGGTTACGTAGACCCGACTGTCTTGGAAACGGACATTTAATTGTGATGTCTTTTACGTCGGTTGTGTGGTAGCTTTTTGAAAGTGATGTAGTTTACAAAACTTAAAAAATATTTGACAAATGCAAGGTATATTCCTTAAGTAGTCAATAATATCAGCAGAAAATTATACACATTTTCTGTACTTGCTACATAAATCGTAACTCATGAAAAAATATGCAATACCTTCATCTGTACAGTACTTCTTCAAGTATACTTTTTCGTTGGTTTCATTGCCTAAGGCAAGCCTTGACCTACATTCTCTGATGACGTTGTAAGTGATCACCACGGATCACGAACGTAGTGTGCAAAATTAGTTGAGGCGAAATGTGTACTGCTCCAAACGAAACCAGTTTTACATTTATGTTCTATCCTATCTGTGCTAATTGCTTATGTTCACCCAGCCGGTAGTTGATTGGTTGGCAGTTGTTTAAAATTGAATTCTACGCGTTGTAAAACAAACAAATGAGTTGAAAAATATCTCGCTGTTCGTGGCCTCCGACGATCCTCTGACTTCCCCAGTTTGCAAAATACATATTTTACGAAATTGTTTCCATTGCTCGCGCTATAAGCTTTGCTGCACAACATTACGCTGCAACTTGTTTCGTTTGCCGTTGATAGTTTCTGTATATAGCCGCTAGCTGCGTGTTTTGCTCATACGGGAAGCACCTTGAAGTTGTCGCATGCTTTTTTGCTTTGCATTTATTTTTTGTTGCTATTCACTTGTTTGTTTTGTGCAGTTTTTTATTTTTATTTTACATGTAATCAATTATATTATTGTTGGAGCATACTACATTTTCTACGCTTTGTTTCTCAATTTATTTGTTTAAATTGATAAATACAAACAATGCGTTATTATTAAAAATTACATATTTATTTATGAAGTCTGTTGGTAAATAAGGAAATACTACCAGAGATGGATAAATATTTAAGATTATTAATATTACCTAAATTACAACTGTAGAATGCAATCTACATAAATATGTATATATTTATATATGTGGAACAATGAATTTAAAAGTATTTCTAATTTCAAATCTGAAGTCAAATCCAAATTAGTTTTATGTTTGCATTTCCTAATTGTAATTATCATGATTTGTGCGTGTGTTCTATCAAACTTGCTCCTTTGTTATGCGTAACAGTTATGCTAGCTATGCAACAGTTAAATGCATATAATATTGCAATTAAACAGCCGACAATCAAGCACATAGACAGATCAATAAATAAAGATAATTTATTATAAAAACGCCTGTTCACCTTGATTTAGAATGTCTACATGATTAACAAAGTGCGCGAAATTTTCAGTGCGATTGCCAACGGCACGCTATTAAAATAACAACAATTGACAAAGCGCAGCTGCAAAAAATGTTTCAAAGGCAATTGCTTTTATATAAAACATGAAAATACGAAAGTATAGCAATGAACCAAGGGGCGTGTAACAGGGCATGTATATATTTCTAGCATATTCATACATATGTACATAATTATTAAACATTGCGTTTATTAATCAGCATATATTGTTTTGTTTAATACTAACAGCTCCTAATAAAACAACACCATGCACTAATATTTGTAGTTTCGTTTAACATTATACAAATCTTAATGTAACAAAATAATTTTACTAATATTTGTAAGAAAGCCGCCATAAGCAGTAATAAGTGGTTATATATCATAAATCGGCGATTAACTTCGAAAAATTTGGGGTTCCTTTGATTTCATTGCCGTTCTGCAGAAGGACCTCCGAAAAAACTTGTTGGGCCGAGAGAAAGATTTTCTGCTTAAAATTATGTCAAATCCAAAAACCGAAAAATTTATTTCTATAAATGAATACAGGTAATGATCGAATTTTTTTTTTACACTATGACGGCTTGCTAAAAAAAAGTAGTTTTGTGTGAAAAATTTAAAATTAAAAGTGGCTTAAAAATCTTTTTATATAGATATGTATTTCTGCGATAATTATCTGATAAATATATCTAAAAAGATCGTGCGCTCCAGCCATTACAGTAAACAATTTTTTTCCCGACTTTGAAAAAGCATTTGGAGAAATCGTCTTTAAAGTTTTGGGTGCCAATTACACTTAGTCCGAAAATTCTTACAAATACACTCATATCTCTGAAACTTTTTGTCAACTTTAAGTTTTTGGAGAACATTTTAAAATTGTACAAAAAATCGATATTTAAAAATTCACAAGTGTATGTAACCACCTAATAGAATAGAATAAATAAATATTAATGAAATTCTATAAAGATTCTGTTCAACGTAACGGTATATGATGCAATGGCAATGTTTGTTCTAAGCAAAGTACTAAGTGTCTTATAACAGCATCAACAAACCACAATAGTTTTGCTTTTTATAATTTACCTTTCACTAATGTGACTCTTAATCCGTTATACCTTCAATTAATTTAATTTCTGTTATTTTTTTCTGAAAATTATAGTGACATACATATATACATAAAGTGATTTTTTTCCGTTGCCGATTAAGTAAGTGGTTATATTAGGTACTTGGGTCGGGAAAGGCACCTGCGCATGTATTTTTACAGCATATTATAGAGGCGATACATTGGCAATGTTCTGCCTACACTTTACATGCATACATATGTACATATGTATATACGAATGTACAAATGAATGTTTGGCATACTAGTCGTGTATTCGACTCACTAGCCGGTGAGTCGCACTCAGGTCGTTGGCATTGATGTAGTCATTGAGTCAAGGTTGCTTCCGCTTTTTTGTTTTTGCGCTTGTCGTCGCTTGTTTGTTGTAAATTTTTGCTGTAGTTTACATTTGTTGCTTTGCGCCTGCTGCATTTTATTTGTACATTACCACTTTTGCAATGCAACATATACATAGATATGTACAAACATACATACATATTTTGTGCATTTATATTTTTCGTTGTATTTAAGTTTTTTTTTGTAACGTGTGTTGCTGGACAGGATTTCAACGATAAAGTTGGCCTTGCTGTGTTTTCCTTTGTAGATTATAAAGAGTGCAATGTTCAAGGTGTTTTCTCGGATATTTTTTTTATTTTGATGTGGAGAGGTTTTTTAGTATTTCAAATTCTAGTTTATTTCTTTGACTCTTAAATTTTAAAATTTTAGCAGCTGCACTTTGTCGCAAATTTCAATAGCAATAAATTCAAATTAAATATTGTACATAAGTTGTTAGAGCACTTTTATTGATATTTAATTTTGTTTTTAATATACTTTCAATTACTACAGATGGTAGCCCTATGTTGCGACAAGGAGACACCGGTGATTGGGTGGGTACATTCGAAGGTCACAAAGGTGCCGTTTGGGGTGTGGCGTTGAACAGGAATGCCACTTTGGCCGCTTCTGGTGCTGCAGACTTTACTGGAAAAGTTTGGAATGCCGTTACGGGCGGTGAAATCCACAGTTTCCAACATAAGCATATTGTGAAATCAGTTGCATTCGATACAAATTCAGAGAATATTGTCACCGGTAGCAATGAGAAATTGGTGCGTGTATTCAATATGGAGCAACCGAATGTCGAACCGGAACTGTACGCCGGTCATGCAGGTGCTTTGAAACGTGCACTCTTTTGTCGTGACGATAAGTGTATACTGTCTGCAGCTGAAGATAAAACCGTACGCTTGTGGGATCGTTTAACTGGCAATGAGATACAACGACTGCAGTTTCCCCACAATCCGAATAGCTTAGAAATATCGGCTGATAATCACATTCTAACGATAACACATGGTTCGACCATCAGCTTCTGGGAAGTGGACACATTGAAAAAGCTGAAAGAGGTGAAAGTGCCGACTAATGTATCGTCGGCTAGTTTACATCCCGACAAACATGTGTTTGTATGTGGTGGTGAAGATTTTAAGATGTACAAATTTGATTATATAACCGGTAATGAAATTGGTGAGTATTTAATGGATAAATATGTGTGTGTAAAATAACAAATATTTAACATTTATACGCTATTACTTTCTTCACAGAATCCTTTAAAGGTCATTTTGGTCCAGTGCATTCTGTGAAGTTTAGCCCGGATGGTGAGCTGTATGCCAGTGGCTCTGAAGATGGCACATTGCGACTTTGGCAGACAACTGTGGGTAAAACCTATGGGCTCTGGAAGTGCACCGAACCGGGCGAATTGAATAATTCTATGAATTCACCACGCGAAGTACATGCCAATTAGAGTAAAGATGAATGCGGGTGAAATTCTAAAAAGAAGTCGAATCCCTTTTCGGCATCAAGAGTGAAAGAATCAATAATTCATAAGGGTTAAAATTTATTTTCTTCAATTTTTGAACTACAAATATTTTGCAAACCTATTATATGAATTTGAGAGTAAATGATTTGTAATAAATTTGGAAATTTTTAAGATCTTAAAATTTTTTTGAAGAACGTAAGAACTGATAATAGCATTTACTTCACGGAAATATTAAATAGCTGGCAAAATACTGTATTTTATTCCAAATTACTTTTTACTTAAAAAAAAAAGTAATGAACAGAAATGATGATTGAGCATATTTTAGTATGTAATACATTAAGTGATTTCAAATAAATACGTACACATTTTCCTACTTAGTATTTTTCATTTATGTTGTCATTGTTATTCACGGGGGAAAATAAATAGTTCGTTAACATGAAGTGTGGAAGATTTATATATGTGTGCCTGTCGCCCAACCATGCAAGTAAATTGTGGTGAAGTTGAGCATATTACCGCCTTGACGTATTTCTGGTCTTTGTTGCAGATGGTCAAACCAGCGGGAGAGATTTAAATAATTTTCTTTTTCGACCGGGGAAAGAGATTTCTGCAAAATTAAATATTAGAACAAATTATATACTATGTTTATGAGAAAACTAGCAAGGAATGTTTTTAAAACTTTGATAAGATTTGAAAAAATTGGTTTAAAAAAAGAACTTACCATCAAATTGTGGATGGCATAAAATATAGCTAAATCCGCTAATGTAATAAGATATCCTACTAAGTAGGATTTAGTGCTGAATAGATTATTGAAGTCACGTAGTAGTTGTTGGGATATATGTTTGTCTTTGGAACCAGGTGCCACATACAATACAGCAAATTCAATCCATTGGTAGACGTCCGCGGCAATTTCGCGTGTCGCTGAACTGTTGCGTGCAATCTCTGATTTAGATTCTTGTGCGAGTGCGTTAAGAATAGTGGCAAAACCAGATACCGTGTTGTTGTTATTCGTGCGAGTGATAATCTAAAAAATATGATTAGTTTTTATTTTTAATTTCCCTTCATTGCTAAATACTTGTAGACGTCTGTAGTTGTATACCTTTTCAGAATTAAGCGTTACTTCACCAGCTGGAACACCAAGGGTTTTGGCGATTTTAGTAATAGTGTCGACTTCACACATTCTTAACTAATTTTTTTTTTAATTGTATTGATTTTATTAATTAATAGAATATTATAAGTTAGTTATCCGAACTATTTCCACGTGAAATACTTTTTTGTTGAATTGCAATGTTTATTAAACAGCTGTTTAAGTGCTGCCAGATCATCAATTTACTTTTATTACGAGTATGCTTCCGACAAATAATTCAATAGAAAATTTTCGCGAATATTTTTTTGTTCGTTGCGTTCGCTTGTCTTTTATGAACGAACAACTGTTCTTTATTACGTTCGTTCAAACATTGGGCTTGGGATTCCCCGAGTTCTGCGTTAACTTAAGGGCCTCGTAAGTTATGGCATATTGCAGTAAAAATATGAAGACGGTGGACATGCCCGTTAAAAGCTACATTAAAAAATGACTCTCTGTTACATACATATGGAAAATAATGTTTTTGTATGAAATGTTTTTCTTACTGTTGTAATAAATTTGAGATTTAATTCTGCAACACCGCAGACAATATTTGTTCGCGTGTTTATGATTAATTGCAATACAAAATGTGTGATCTGCAAATAATAATAAAGGACAACAAAAAATTTATTTGGAAAAGAAAAAAAAAGGATAACCAACTGTATCCTCCATTTCCGTATTTTGGCCACCAATTTCATTCATTATTAGGACTGTATTATTGTTCTGAAAGAAAGAATATTCTGGTAAATATACTAATAAGACTAGATTTCTATTCGTGCGGTTTGTCGAGAGATGCCCCAACTTATTCCATTGTTCAATATTCCGAACATCCGTTGGAAAGCTACTGCTCTGTTTATGGCATACATCGCTGAGTTAACGTGCCAAAAGTGGTTTGTACTACAATATTTAAAAGCGCTTATGTTGTTTTGGAAGGCGACTAACGTCCTCGACGGTCAAAAAAGTTTTAATATGAGGAACTGAAAGCATTACTCGATGAAAATTGTTGCCAAATACAAGAAGCCAAATGAATTGAAGTCAAGAATTCCAAAAACGCTTAGAATTATTATAGCTTCAGATGGGATGCTTTGTATAAACTGCTATTGATCAAGTTTTTTTTTAATAAATTCTCAAATCTTAAAAAAAAACACACACGAATATAGTTATAAACCCAATATTTGTAAATTCTACGGCTTCTTTTTTCGATTTCGTTTTATTTAGGTTCGTGTAGTCTTGCCACTAGGACATTTGGCGGAAATGAGTTGTATCAATTTTTGGTCCAAAGGAAAATATTGAATATTATGCTATGGAAACTGGAGCAATGAATCTACTCCAAAAAATTAACTTGATGCAACCGTTTTTCCCTCTACTTTAATCATTTCTGATCTTAATGTTATAATGTAAAAGGGTAATGTCTCCGATCAACAATAAGAATGAAATGGAAGCGACAGAATACGATAAAAAAATAAAAGGCTAACAAAAAATCAGTTTTTATGAGAACACTTGCAAATAATGAGAAATAAAAAAAACTTAAAGTCCATTTATATTAACCTGATTCTGGATGTTATGGTTGTAGTAAAGTATCAGAAACATCTTAGCAATATGCATGGTCGTCCAAACCAACAAGTAGAAAATCCATGAGATTGCCGACATATTCCCCGCATCTACATATTTGTAGATCAAAAAAATATTCACCGCCAAATTTGTGAATGATCCAATGTATACCAAGACGACCGAAAATCCAAAACTATTATTCACTTCCTTCGTAAATACCTGTAGAGTTGAATAGAGTAGTCGAATACGTTGCAGTCTTTCATTAAAAATACGTGGACTATTCTTCTGCGAAAGCTCTGCGTGCAGGATTTCATTGAAGCGTCTCGAGCGTTGAGCGATAGCGTACAACAGCGTATAGTATTGAATGAGTGAGATGGACAATATTAGGTTCGGCAACAGATAGACGACGAGACTACGTGTGTAATTCAAGAAAATGCCATTACTGTAAAAGTAATTGACGCTGACAGTCGCAATGGCAAACAAAACTACCAAAAACACATGAGCTTTCAAGAAGCACGTTAAACGTTCATACTTCGGTTGTTTCTCAAAATTAACCAAGTTGTAATCAAAATCGGCTAGGGTACGCAAAAATCGGTGACATTTGTGACGGCCCCAATAACTGCTGATCATAATGTGGAATATATGAACTATGTATACTAGATATTCGCCAAAATATAACGGCTTGTGTATTGTCGGCAGGTCGATGTTGACCTGCGTGTACTCGCTGTATATGGCAACGATGAGACTGGCATATATAATAATGCACCAAATGATGTGCAATATGAGCCATATGTTAGGCTTTTTATTGTTGTCGGTCGGTACATGTTGATGTGCGTCATATGGTAGGCTTACAAAAATCTCAGAGAGCAATAAAAAATAATTAACTGCCCGATATAACTGCGTTTCCAAACCATCGACACTGGTGTGCTTATAAGACTGAGAGAACTGTGAGCGTTGCTGTATCTTTCCTTTGTTTGAACTACCGTGTACTATCGTCGGCAACATTCTGTGCACAATACACAACTAACTCGAAATGCACTCATTGCAGGTACTATAACGGTGAAGCGCAAAGTAACTGAGTTAAATGCTTTTAATTAATGGTATAGAAAACAGTTTGATTAATGAATGCATGTCGCTAATTTGGCTTTATATATAGGTCAGAGAAGGGTTGTTCTGCTCATCTCAGTGTCACACGAGGGAATAAGTTATTGTCGGCAGGTTATTGCTGAAGAATATGAAGCCATAACAGCTGCCTAGCTTAGTTTAAAAACATTCATTTTATTCGTTTTCTTTAAATTGATGTGCCAGTCTTTTCTAGATTTGTAGAACTGTCTTTATCCCTTCGTGTTTTTGGTGATTTTCATCTGTTGTTGTTGTTGTTTGACCAGTATAAAATATTGCCCATGGTTGGATATATAGGCTCGACTGGCATCGAATGGTTACATCTACTATTTCTAGCGGTGTCTAATGGATATCTTCAAACCTGATCTAGAGGAAATAGAACAACTGTCCCTTATGTTTAGCCCGTCGTAGCGATGCTAGCTGCAATAACATCTCACTCACTTGAAGGGACATACCATCAAATTTGGCCAGGACTGACGAAAAAATCTAGCTTTTTACGTATTTCAATACAAATATCGTCTTTAAAATACGCTCCTATTGAGCCAGTACAAGTATGCTAGCGCCTTCAGCGATTTTGTTTTTTTTTTTAATCGATTTGGTTTGCGCTCGCAGTTTAAATGGAAAAGTACGGCTCAAATGTGATCTACCATCTGATTACATTTTCCCCGGACTGGTCCATTTAAACTACACTATACTTAAAAACGATTTGATTTTCGATTTCAATAAGACATGGTTCTACATATTTTAAGCCTTTTCGAGGGTTTGATGGATTTGTGACAATCTTTTCCTTGGCAAAAGTACACTCGAAGATTTGTACATCTGCCTAGTAATGACAGCTATTAGATAAAAAGTTGTAACTGAGATGGAATCGTAAAATAGATTATAAGAAGGAAATATAAAAGAACGCTTCGAATTGTTCTTACCAGCTTAGAAACATGTTATATAAAGAATAGCTAACTTTGAACGTAGGATCAAAACTAAAATTCATTTCGAATAAGGTATATAAAACGATCCGAATGTTGGTCCATAATGTAGACATTATATATAATTTTTTTCGTTATCGCATTTAATAGATTTAATAGTCAAGTATTATGCATTTACTCAGATGCCATTAATCCTGTGTAGTCTAAAAATTATAGTTGCCGGTAAATTGTCCATTAAAATGTTAAATTATTATACAGTAAAAACATACCTCTTTCATATTATCTGCAAAAGTACACAACTCAGCTCAGGAAATCTGTGGTATTATAGCACAGTAACGTGACTGAGGTGTCATGAGTATCACGCTTTAGTTATTTTCAAGATTCCAGAATAAAAGTGTATTAAGGCGCATTAAAAACTGAATGCAATCTTAAATAGGTAGATTTCTTTTAAGAAGCAAAAGCTTGACTAATAGATGTTTTTGACAATAAATTCCAGTGAAGAGATGTTTAGAAAATTATAACTGTCTGCTTAGAAATATGAAGTAAAAAGCAGAAACCCAGTATTGAACGATGAAGTTTTAATGTTTATGCCACCGTATTATAATGTGACTAATGAGGTCTAAGAATAATGAAATTGTGGTTGTCTCTAGATCTATCCAGAAGCGTCACTTTCAATTTGTAGTTATTAAAGGTGTTGGACTAAAATTCTACCAAGACTTGAAGTTTTGACATTAACTAAGTGCTATGGTTCTACATAAAAAAAAATCTTTCAGTCGGTGGAGCTTAGAAATCGAGTATGTTATGAAGAGCCTAGCTTGAGAAAGCAATACTTATTATTTTCAATTAACATAGAGGGAGGTCTTATTTGGATAAGAACAGAGAACAACTTGGCTTCTCTTCGTGTTACGACCTGACAAGAGCTTCTGGAAAGACGTATAACTTTGACTCGGGTCTGGAACAAAATAATGGTTAGTAGCTATTACAAGAAGATTATAACAAGATGATCTCTCTCGAGATAGGAAATATTTATCTAATGAGTATGTTACATTTAATAACATGTTCGTAATAACTATCGGAGGCAGTTTGTATTATTTTACTTTTTCCATCCTAATCTGTATAGTTTGTTAATATTTATATATTTTTTTGTAGCTTTGTGATAATTCCGGTGGTTACACAGAAATCTCAGCAAACTTTTGAAACGTCACTTCAAAATGCGTTCGTTAACTCTGGAGCGCTTAATACGCATTCTCACTGTGATCTGTCAGCTATTCTGCATGGCACCGACACCGAAAACGAGACAACGAAAGTTGAAACGACTACGTTACTTTCATTACGTATACGCTTCCGTTATACTAATATACATTTACGTGTCCAGTTCGAATTATATTGCGAAAGTTGACCCTTCGCATATAACACTTAATACAATATTTTACCTGGGCGAAATCCTCGTAAATAATCTCGTATGTACATTTTGTGCGTTTAACACCTTTTATGCGGCATCTAATTTTCACAAAATACCTCAAAAGTTTTTACAAATCTTCAAGGAGTTGAAAGCGCTTGAACTGCCGCAGCAGCCTCCTGAGTATAATCTTTTGACAGTGCTTTACAGGAAGTTGTGCCTTTGCACTGTGGTTATTTTACTTCTGATCATAATCCCTTTAGGCTTGGTTTACATTAAGGTGGATTATAAATTAACTGAGTTTCTGCGCTTCTTAGGCGCTTATCAACTACCGAATATCTTATTACTACTTAAATTGGGTCAATATTGGTTAGCTTTACGTTTTACATATCTACTTTATAAACGTATAAACGAAACGCTCCTACAACGCATAAACCATCTAGATTTACATAGCTCACCGAGAAGGCATGAAGTCATTACTAATGCTATGCTTCCAAGGACCAGTGCGACTTACGAGGCTCACGACAAAACGTATTCTTGGTATAAACGTGAGTTTTCTAGAACAAATTTGGATAATTGTGAGATTTTGGAGCGGCTACGTCGCTTATACGCAGATTTGGATACGCTTCTGGTGCAAGTGATACATTATTTCGATGTAATTCTGTTGCTCAACTTTCTAGGATCAGTCTTCGGTTTTTCAATAACTTTATTTGAACTATACAAAAGTTTGAATTCACCACAATGGAACAGACTACTATGGCATTTTCACTATACCGCACGGGTTCTCATCATTCTGTTGACAAATAATGCAGTTGTGAATGAGGTAGTTCGAGTGAAATTTGTCATATGGAAACTTTTAATTCTTTTCTCTTTTCACATAGAAATCACGTACAGCATTTGTGCTTAATGAGTTCTATATTACATCGAAAGAGATGGAGCACGCGGTCAACCGTTTCCATCTACATTTAATGTTGCGTAAGCCTGTTGAAAAAGTATGCGGTGTAGTTGAACTGGATTTAATGCTATTTATAGGGGTAAGTACTTGTACGCCATAATAATATTATACTTGCAAATATAGGAAATGTTTAGTCGAATTTCTTTCCAAGTAACTAATATTGGTTGGGTTAAGGCTAAAAAAATTTTACAAGGCACAGCCTTAAAAAGCTTAAAAAAAACAAATTTTTGGGAATAAAAAAAAAAATTAATATACATTTTTTTGTTAACTTTAACTGTATATTTATACGTATTTCAAGAATGCACGGTAAAGTTTAGATATTTACGTATTTAGATAAGGAAAAAAATTAAATATTTTTCTAGTTACACGTGATCTCCGACGGCGCTAAAACAAAGGTCGTTTACAGCTGCAGTGATTCCGGCCTTCTCCGTGGATGATACTGAAAAAAATTCTTTTTTAGAAAATATTGTCCGCACAAAGACCAACAGTCGAAAAAAAATTAAAAATTTAAAAAATGGGACGTGTTAAAGAAAAACGTAGAATTTTACCCACAACCGTGTTTGGTCATTGTGTGGAGAACTATATAACGAACATGCCAAAAAAAATTTGATAGCTATTTCATTTGTCTCCGAGTAATCACTCAAGTAAATTTGTATTTTGAGAAAAACTCGTTGAAAGATAAACTGATATAGCTGATTGAACTGAGTGGCTACACTTTAGAAGGCTGCAACTCAAAAATTATTTAAAATATTAGTATGTTATTTCTAAAGGTATAACATATTTAAAATTAAAAATAATCGATATTTTTTATTTCACGCTAGGTATGCCCCTTAAACCATGCCCGAAGTACTTATTAGTTGATGTGAAATTTTTTAAGGTTTTAGTAAAGAATTTCCCTAATTATACCTTTTGCTATTATTAAGAAAAGAGATTTGAAAAAAACGCTTTCAAAACTTTTGATGAGCTTTGGGCGTCACGTGGTTTCGGTTTCATCACATATACAATATTACAATATGTTTTATATTTAAGATTTCCATGTGGTTTTTAGATAGAATTTAAATTTTCTTTAATCTAGAATAGTGTAACCCTTTGAAGAAGGCAATTACGAAACTCCTTAATTTGTAGATGACTGTAGCCAGTATTGAGTAAAAGTTACTCATACCACACGTATTACGCTATAGGTATTACTTGATTTATATTTTACTACATTATATAAAATAAATCCGAATCTGTATATACTATATAATTATCAAAAACTAAAATTCTATAATTTTTTCAGATTTTTAGCATCGCATGCCAATATGTTACATTTCTCATACAAATTGATTTGAGCAAGGGTCCTTCGAAGATACCAAAGATGGTCGCCAATGATATTTAAAAAAAATAATTTACAAATTAATCTAAATATATTCGTATATGTGAATTTTAGAAACAAAGAAGAATGTCTTCTTTAATTCATTATTTCAATTTAAACCGTTATTGATGCCTACCAAAAAAGATTTATTATTCGTTGTGCATAATTTAGAGAACAACTGAGTGCCTAATTGTCAAACATTTAATTATACATGAGGCAATCATTATTCATTTTCTAAATATATATGTGCTTTTGTATGTGGCTATACTTGTATTAAAATTAATGTGCTTTGCTTGAAAGGCTTCGCTTACTTTATTTACTATTAAATCATTTCGCATTAACTCGTCCTTAAATGTATTTGATTGGCTATTAACAGTCAATGGTCACGGTTCAATCCTAAGTCATATAAGTGCAATAAATAAGAATAGTAAAGAAAAGGTAGTCAGTGTCAGAAGATTCCCAGGTGCATATGTTAGATAAAATTTTTTTCAAATATTTCTATATAAATAGTGAACACAATATTAATATCCGTTTCCGGGATCAACGACTTTTTCTCGAGCTCAACTTTTTATGAACTTATTAACTTTTAAATATACAGAGTAATTTTTCTAACCAACGTTTACTTAATGTAAATTAAGAGGGATATTTCTACATAAATAGTTGAAACGGTAGTGATATCCCAGTCGGGGATCAATGAATTTTTCTCCAGTCTAACTTTTATTAATTAAATTTCTAAATATGCAAAGTAGTTTTTTCATCTAACAATTACTAGTAACTCCTAAAACTAAAAAAGATGAATGCAATGGGATATGCGAAGGCGGTTCGATAAGTACGTAGCCTCACCGCTCGATGGCACCACTATCGCTAGAGAAATTTCTTATCGTGAATATAATCTCATAGACAACTATTGTACAAATTTCAGCTGAATTGCACCGCCTTTAGTTTTGTTCTGAGAACGCGGGGAAGCGAACGTGTCTGCGGATTTTAGGAAAATGGAAGGAGGGCAATGTCTTTCGGTGATTCAATAGTAGTTTTTGGAAGGAAATAGTGCTTGGTGGCTGTATACGGTAACTCTTCTTCTTCGATGATAATCGGAGATCAAATAGCTGTGGAAACAGTGGACTGCACCCGACGAATCTGCTTCTAAGGCTGTGAAAGATGTTTGCCACCGTTTTCTGTGATCTAATGATCAGCTGGAAAAAGAGAAATCCAAAGTACTCTTGTGTGTCCATATATTGGGCCGATTTGATGCCAAATTACATAAAAACGGTACGGTTTTGCAGAAAAAAAGTGCTCTTTAATCAGTGGTATTACCGGCTCACACATTTGCCGTCGCCGTAGTCAAATAGGTCGTACAGGCGACAACTTTCTGTCTCATCTACCGTATACTCCTTAATTAGCTCCATGCGATTTTTGTGTTTAAACATGAAAAATTTGTTGACCTACATAAAATTGATTTATAAGATGGTTTAAAGAAGTAGGAACATCGCTGTGTCAAAAGAATTGAGCTACATAAAAGTAAACTAATTTGAGAAACGAACGGACATTTAAGCAAAATTTTAGTTGTTCTTTTGTAGGCTAATTAATGATGTGGCACGTTCGTAATTGTTTTTACAACAAATTCTATTACACTCTCTTCTTCTCTTTAGCGTCATGGTCGCAAAAATTGGTTTGAAGAAACGCCTATATAAACAGCACAAGAGGCTCTGCATTAAAGAGCCATATTTCTGTCTCATCTCTAAACTCTACATTGTGTGTCAATTATTTGCCGCAGCCCCGATATTAGATACTCCACACCGTAACTGTCGTACATTACGGTGTGTACATTGTGTTTGGTGTTCCATTGTTTTACTTTACATTTCTGTGGTGAATTTTCACTATATAAATCGGATACATGATCCATTAATTACAATCCTTAAAATATTTTTCTCAACGGAACTCATAATAAATCCATTAATCGTTGCCTCAATTATATTGAGTATGTATTATAATAGCGAAGAATACCGCAGCATACCGTATGAGCTGCTCCGAATATATAAGGTCTATAGAAACTTGCAACCGAAACAGGTAAGCACTGGAAGCGTAATTTTTCGTGTGCTCCATATTGAAATGCTGATAATGGTCGGTGCTGTGATCCCTGTTATATCATTCTGTTTCATAGTGGATTACCTACGCACGGGTCCGTTTTTAATTCGTTATATACTCAATGCAAGCGTATTCAGTTTAGCTAATATAATCATAACTTTCAATATCACGCAATTTTGGTTGGCACTTCGTGTTATATACCAGCTATATCGGGGTTTCAATGAGATTATAAAGCAACGCCTAAAACGTTTTAGTTCCATAAATTCAGAAAAAAGAGGGCTGGCCAGTGAAGAGGTCTTTTATGCCTATACGACTGAGATCTTATGGTACCAGCGTGAATTTCTTAGCTTACGCAAGGAAGCGGTAAACAATTATGAAATTTTGGACTCGATACGTAGTATATACTTTGATTTGGACACCATAATGACACGATTGACTAGAGTATTTGGTATTACGATGTTGCTGAATTTTATCGGCTCAATGCTGAGTCTTTCCGTGCAATGTTTTGCCGTGTTTAAATTCTTTGATGCGGATAATTTTTTGGGAGATATTTTAATAGAAATGTACAATCGAGTGCTCTGGCTTTTCATACATCTTGTGCGCATACTGCTGATTTTAGTCACTAATAATACAATCCTTGAGGAGGTTAGACTTAATTTTGTGGATTATTTAATATAGAATTTTTGAAGTATTTGTTATAGAAATGTCGTACAACATTTGCTTTGAATCAACTGCATATAACCTCGAAAGAAATGGAACGTGCAATCAATCGGTTTTTACTGAAGCTAATGGTTCATCAGTCTCCAGTGTTGTTCTGTGGAATTATAGAACTTGATTTATTCGTGGTATGCGGTGTAAGTATATATACATATCATCTGATCAAATACGCCTTGAACTGAAAAAAAAACAAAATTTTCGCGTATTTTAATATAAATCATTATTATCGAATAAAGTTGACTCTTCTTAAGCATTGGTTGGGACATTGGGCATTATCTTATAATACCTAGGGCCGTTTTCCAACCTCTAATAACTACAACTACTCTTCAGCACTGTTTAAAAAGGCAATCCGAACACTGTCCAGATTTTTAACAGGCGTTGGTGTGCATGGTTTTTTTCGTTATGTGACCTTATTGTTAAAAAAATTGGTCAATATCTTCTCCTAGTCTCTATATAAAAATATTATTTTTGTAAAGCTGGTGGATTTTCTTTGATTACAATGTCCTTTTTGTTTTACTGCTTGTATCGGTCAAAAAAGGCAATATCTTAATGAAGTTATATTTTCGAAACCTTAAACAAGTCAAGGGCGTAGAGTAGTTAAGTTACTTCCGGCTGACCGGTTTCCGCCCATATTACTCAAATTTTTCCTATTCAATGATTTTACTAATATTATATTAATAAATAAAAAATATATTTAACATCAATACTGATTCTCTTATTATCTTAATTTTGAACAGATTGTTGGCGCTGTGACCAACTACTTCATATTTCTTGTACAAATCGATTTGGGCACTACAACAATATCGGATTTCAATATCACAGATACACCAACAAATAATCGTAATATTTAAGTCATCATATTTAATGATAACAAAAAATTATATATATAATCTATATTATACCCTTATATATAGTATGTATATCAAGTCTAAGTATAACATTAAAATTAATGCCTTCACCGACTATCTTAATGTAATCTAAATGTAAAGGCATTCATTACACAAAGAGATTTCAATTACGGTGTAATATTATAGAATGCATTGCAAAACAAAGGAAAAATTAAATGTGAGTGGTCCTTATATGGTTACTCTATCTATATAAACAGGACATGCGCGCTTTCTCGCTTAGTTGCTGGACTCGAACGTAGCATTTACATTCCTTCGGTTATTCATTACATACCATGTTGCGCCGTTGTTGTTTGTCACGTAAATTTGTTTACCAAATATTAAAGTTTCCTTTTGTAAAGTTTTGGCATGGATTGGTCAACTGCTATTTCGCTTTACGCGCGGCATGTGCCAGCATCGCACAGAAGATGCATGCTTTCGGCACCGATCTCGGCGAAGAAACCGGTATACTAGCCATAAGTTTGATTGCAAATCGTAGACTACATGCACTTGAGCGGTAAGTAATTCAGGACGGATCTGTTTCTCTTGGTTATATTCAATATGACAGAGCTGTTCTGCAGATTACTTTGGTTCGCCACAGTGCTCGTGTCCATATTCGCTGCGATACGTTTAAGTGGCGTTCAAGTGAGACGTTACTTTTATTCGCCGACTGTCATCTCGGTGGATCGAGATTATCGCGGTTGGCTTGGTCCATTGCCAGCTGTTACGCTCTGCTATTATGATCATATAGATTCATTCAAAGCGAACGAGTATATACAGGATAACTGGAATATTTCCATTGTGGATAATGATTACTTCTACTTTATGGATTTTCTCTATGCCGTGGTTAATGCAACGGCTAGTAATTATGCTGACCTAGCACGTTTCGCCGAAGACGAACGTTTCGATAACGTGGATCTAGCGGAAGTGGTGTATGCAATCGATAAACCTTTCGAACAAAGTTTGACTAGTTTTGATAAGAAAAATTCAACAATACAAATAAGAGCGGTAATGACAGAGCGAGGATACTGTTATGCGATTAATTCACCCATGTCGGAAATTCTAGCTGGGAGGTAAGCTATAGTTAGAGTTAACAAAATTTTAAATTAGTAAATTTTATTTTCACAAGTTTAGAAATATCGAGTACAAAGACGTTATACAACCACTTACCTGTGAGTATGGCAAGCAGCTGTGCTTTATCAAAATGGATTTGTACGAAAGTACGGGAACAGTAAGTATAACCAAACTAACTATTGATCATTTGATCCCTTACCTTTTTTATTTATTTTTTTCGACAAGGTCGATATCCATTCGCCTTTTGAGGTTTCCGCAAGCGATGCTAATATTATAGCATTACACAAATCGGATGAAATTACCGCTTCCTTCAAAGTGCTTGAAACAGTGTAAGTAAGCCGTTTGTTATTTTCGATCTTTACTTTCTTTCTTTTACTCTAGTGCTTCGAATAATTTGCGTGATCTGCATGTGGATCAAAGGAAGTGTGTGTTTTACGACGAAGAGACATCACAACTAAAGGTTATCTTATAAACAGATAGTCTATAGTCTGTTCAAATTTTACTAAATTTTTTGTGCTTGAAACAATATTTTCAGGTTTACAGCAAAACTTTATGTTTAGTGCGTTGTCGCGCAGTTATGGCTCTGGAAATGTGTAATTGTGTACCGTTTTTCTATGCTTTTGTGGGTATGTTATATAAATATTTAGGGCGATTCAAATCAAATTATTCTATATAAAGAGACTGCCCAAAAAACTGAAAGTGGTAAAGTAAAATATTCTTTTATATTAACAAGCCAAAAGATTTAGACTGCTTAAGGGAGGGTCGCGCAATCGCCCAATATTATTTTAGGTGTTGATAGCGTTGGTGCGTCTTGTGTCTATAATAATCAAGGTTGTATCCGGAATGTCGAAAATTAATTTATAGATCCATAGATGTCTGTAGTTTTGTAGGCAGTTTTCAATCATATTAAGATATGATCTTCGGATCTCGAATGGATCTCTTGTGACATTCGAGCATAGGTAGCTGAGGAGATTGAATAATTTGTAGCCATTATATCAGATCTGTGATATGATTGGAAGAGTGAAATATTTCCGAGAAAAAAATTGGATAAGCATTTTGATAAGCTAAAAATTCTATTTTCCAGAGGGTCCCAGTTGTAATCCTGCCGGCTTCGAGTGTCTACTCGATTTCAAATGGCCCATATGGGCTTTGCATATTTGCAAATGTCCAAGTACATGTATAGAAATCGAATATACTGTACAGACAGTGAAAAAGAGCTATTGGTAAGTCTAAAATATGGTAGCTGTTCTAATAGATCTTGAAGATTTTCTAATACGTATATATATATTATATATATACACATAAAGGGGCGTTAAGGTCAATGACGAAATCGCCACTACAGATGTGGCTACATCCAGTTTCCGTTGGGATGTGATACCGCCCAAAGTACGTATGAGGCGTGATGTAGTCTTCAGTTTTGAAGACTTACTAGGTGGGTGTGAATTATATTTTTTTCATAAAAATTAAATATATGTAAAGTAAAATTTCGTAGTCTCATTTGGCGGCACCTTGGCGCTGTTGCTCGGTTTCAGTCAAATATCTGTCGTTCGTATTGTCTATGTGATCGCCTATCACGTGATAATGGCAATTGTGGAGTTATTTCGTTGTTTAAAAAATTGTTGTGGCAACGGTTTCCACATTTTTAAACGCAAGCGAAAAAGAAATCAAATTTTACTGGCACAGGAAAAGCGAAAAAAGCGTTTTCATCTACTTAAAAGGCGTCAGCAGCTGATCGGCATACTTGTACATAAGAGTTTGTCGAAAGATGATCATTTCAGTACTGCCAGTGATAATAATGGCCCAACAGATCTTAGTATTGATAAACCCGAATTCGAGTATGTGAACTGAGAGGATATGGAAAGTTGAAGATCATTCTACAAGGATGTTATTTTGCTTTCTGTGGTGTTACCAATCTGTTTGTATTTTAATTTATGGTGCTTGTTTCTTCAATGGCGCTTAAAATTTATCTAACAAGATCATTATCATTATGTCATCCACATTCTATGGCACAATACTTTATAATAAAAGACTTTATTTCGTTTATTGTGTACAAAACCACAAATATGTGTATGCTGGAAATATACTACGTCTGGCTGCTTTCCACGCAAATAATACTCGTATACCTATATATTATTAAATCCTACAGTAATTTATACATATAATTGAAAAATTAAACAATTTCATACAAGTTTCCTAGATAATTGTATCTTTTTAGAAGGGAAATCTTGTGTTTACATATGAAACTAGAGACACCTGCCCGTTGTTGTGCCCAAAACTCCTCGGTGCTGATTCAAAAGACCGTTGCATATCGACAAAGCGCATAGAGCCTGTCACAAATTTATTGTGACGAATAATATCAATTCCAACCAATTCGCCAGGTTCGTAGAAAGTATAGCAACCGAGATGATTCAACTGTAGTCTGGGCAGTGGAAAAGAAAGTGTCTAGATGTTTCTCATTTTTCTCCCTGAAACTTTGACAAGTGGCGTTCTCCAAAATCTTCTGCTTGAAAGATACTTTAGTGGTCTGGCAGTCTGAGGCAAGAGTTGATTGAGAGCTCTCGACAAAATACTCCCCCATCGATTTATCGGAGTTTTATAGCAATCTTTACAGCAAGACATCTGCCGGCTATGTCCTCGTGTGCCATACATATATATATGCTATTATTGGTGTTGTACGTAATGCATCACTGATGCCAATAAGAGCCACTCTGTTCACACGTTCTAGTTGTTTAGCAAGTGTGGCTTTACCGAGCGCATTGCACCAGAAAAATACCCCGTAGAATAATAGTGGCGTAACCACGGTTTCGTAAACTTAAATGAGAGACGGTCTCATTGACCGGCTGTTTTATGTACCAGAAACATTAGGAGAATTATCATCACATATATTATATTTCAAATAAGACCTCAACAATCTCTTTTGTTTATAACTACATTTATCTGTCACAAAAATTAAGATCTTCTTTTGCATTAAAAATATAGAAATAACTCATTAGTTTAAGTTCAAAAACATTCCCACACCACATTCCACATTCTTCTACTTGTACATCATAGGTAGACGTAAACTGATTGAAGTCAGTAAGAGCCCATTCTACTGTATACCGAAAATCTTTCTTTATATAGATATGAAGCGTGACAGGTTATAAACCTTTCTAATATATTTTTAGCTTTTTCTATATTTCCAGTGAAGTGAATCAAGTATACAGAAATAATTGTGTTAAATGTGAAATGAATTTGATTAATAAGTTTGTAGCTTAGACATGGAAAGTTAGTGGTCATTCACTGGTCTCGGGTCAGGGGTCACAGCCTGACTTTCTTGTCAGTAATACGAAAGCAAATTAAATATTGCATGCCGAAAATTTAAATCATCCGCTCAATATTCGTACTTAACTCCCACTTCAGGCATTAGTCGTCAACCGCTTTAATTGAGATACCCACTAACAACTGTTTATCGGCACTAACTTACCAACATTCTAAATCTAAATATTCTGTTAGCACTTACTCATAGATTACAATCTAGATAGATACATTTTCATATGCCACTGAACCTCATTATTTCTGACAATCAGTTGTTGGTTAACAGTCGCGGCAAGAAGACGCAAGTCGGTTTACGGTGCGCATCGTAAAGTTCATATTTGATAAAATAAATGCAATATTTAAATTAATCTGGTTACATTATTTCATAGATAATACAAAATTCTAAAAGTCGCCTAGAAGTACAAATAACTTCATTTCACTTTTGTTGTATTTGTTTACATAAAAGGAGAGAAAAATCTTTTCACATCCATCAAAATCATTCAAGTTGTTAGACAATCAGAGATGCTGCAGGTGTGAATTAAGCTGTCCAAAGTGTGTGCCGTGTTTTGTGGAGACTTTTTAATTGAGATCAAAGATAACAAAGTGCAGCTGATAAGAAACTGTTTGGATATAAATTTAGTCTTTAGTTAGACAACTTTGTAAGATAAATAAGTAAGTTGTTTATGCAAGCATATGTAAATATTTGAAAAGTGAGCATCGCCAGACTAAAGCACTTGATTTTGTGACAAAGAAGAAAGTACTTAAACTTCCAGAATGTACGAAATTCCTAGTAATTTGTGTTTGGAGTGGAAGAATCTAAATTATCATGTGCCATCGACTGAACAAAGTAATTATACGTTTTGGAATGAGTGCCGAAAGGTTAAGGAACTGCGCATACTCAAAGACGGTGAGTTTAAAATTAAAAAAGTGTTAAAGAATGTTGTAATATATTCTATGGAAAATATAACATAATCTTTTCTTTTGTATTTTACCCAAAAATATAATGCACTTTTATCATCAACATATTACATAAATAAATTTTCATAACTTTTCATCAAATCTTAGAATTTTTATAGTATGACATTTAGGACTGGTATTGGCTAGACAGAGACAATGTTGTATTACTGACTTATGGAAATTAGCGTTAATAATGTAATGCGTTATAGATTAATAACTGTGAATTATAACCGATATATTTGCTAAAAACGGAAAGGTACAGATAATTTAATCAAACATCTGTTTTGTTGTAATTTTCTCACTGCAACAGTAAGTTTTTCAAATAAAATTTCGAAAGAAGCGGGACTCCTGTTAGAAAGGTTTGTATTTTCGTATTAAAGAAGTGAGCCAGCAAAATGGAATAGTTCAATAAAATTATCATCTTCGAGGTGTGTTCAAAAAATAACGACAATTTTCGTCACTTATGTCAGCGCTTTTTCCAATCGTCGAAACATTTCCCAAACTCGATTTTTGGGATAGCCTTTAGCTTTTTCAGCGATTTTAATCTAACTTGAATTACCCTATAAGGTTGTTTTTATTTTTGTATATTAGAAAAAAGTCACACAGAGTCATGACTGCCAATATGGAGGCAGGAACATCGTACCTGTTTTGTTTTTGGGCAAGAATTCACGAACAAGCAGCGAAGTGTAAGCTTTTAACAAACGAAAATCGCCAAGCTCATTAAAACAGGTCTAACCGTAGCAATTGCTAAAGACAAGCTAAGCAATGAATACAGCTGAAAATGTTGTCACACTTCAGAGGAGTGTATATCAAGATAATACAATTTTTGACAGTTGCACTTTCAAACCCCGTGAAATTTTAAATTTTAAAATTCCCGGAATTTTCTAAACACACCACGAGTACTATATTTTTTATTTTGGACGTTCAGATACGAACCAACATTGAAATTAGAAGCATTTTTGCCGAAAACAGAAATATTTAGATCAGAGTTTCATCACTTTTTCTCCTATTAGTGGTAAAAATATATATATGACTAAATATCACTCTAATGAAACTCGTTTAACTTTTATCGTCGTTCTCTCAAACGATTCTAATACTTTAAAAACTAGTAAGTATTTGTGAAACCAATTTTTCCGTTATTATAATTGTATTGAATTATATAGAAAATTTTTATTTACTAGTATACAATTCAATAGTATTTATGAAACTCAGTACTAATTTATTTAACTGTTTACCTATTTATCTCAATATAGTCAGTGGCCACATGGAAACTGGCAATTTAGTTGCCATATTGGGTTGCAGCGGTGCCGGTAAGACCACACTACTTGCCGCCATATCGCAACGCTTGCGTGGTAATTTAACCGGTGAAGTTGTATTGAATGGCGTGGCCATGGGGCGAGATGAAATGACGCGTATATCGAGCTTTTTACCGCAATTCGAAATCAATGTGAAGACATTTACGGCCTACGAGCATTTATATTTTATGGTAAGCACCTGGGGGTGAGACTGTATACACATATACATATATACTTATAGTACTCACAGCATACTAATTGGATTGTGAATACCTGTTGCTATAGTTCTCTCACATAAACTTGCTCTCTCCACCCCTACAGTCGCACTTCAAAATGCATCGTAAAACCACGAAAGCGCAGAAACGTCAGCGTGTCAACGACCTATTACTAGCTTGTGGCTTACGAGATGCGACCCATACGCGTATACAATCGCTTTCGGGTGGCGAACGCAAACGGTTGAGTTTGGCCGAAGAGGTACGCACATTATTTACATAAATAGTTTACGAGTCAGAGAAGCACATAAATAAACTATAATATTTATGCATTTGTAGCTTATAACCGATCCACCATTCATATTCTGTGATGAACCCACCACCGGTTTGGATAGCTACAGCGCTTATACGGTGATTAAAACGCTACGTCATCTATGTACGCGTCATCGTGTTACTAAACATTCGCTCACGTCCGTGTATGGCGAGGACTCGTTTACTACGCCGCTCAGCAGCAGTGAGCCAAGTACGACTAATTCAATTGAAATGGAGGTGCTGCAATCGGAAGAGGATATTTTCGATTCGATTAAGGAGATACCCACACTAGGTGTGCTCAACAATAGTCCCAATGGGCGAGACAAGAAAGCTATTATCTGTTCCATACACCAGCCGAGTTCGGAAGTTTTCGAACTCTTCACACATATAATACTAATGGATGCGGGACGTGTTATATATCAAGGTAGCACTGATCGTGCTTTTCAGTTTTTTACCAAGTAAGTGGGTGTTTATGGGGAAGGGAGGGTGATAAAAATTCAATGTCAAAACTAATATTGTGTATGTGTTCTTCGTGTCTCAGTTTAGGTTACGTGTTACCGCAAAATTGCAATCCAGCCGACTTTTATTTGAAAACAATCTCTGATGCGCACACACAAGGCAAGGACGGTGAATTGATTAAAGCGAAATATGAGAATGAGACATGGGGTCGGTATTCGGCTAGTTGGCTGTTGCCGCGCTCCTACAGTGGTGATTATTTGTACAACATTAAAAATTTGTGAGTATGAAGCAATCTTATTTCGACACCTTTTCTGGTCTTTCTTAATTTAAAAGTAAAAGAAATCTATTACAGCCCGAAACAATCAAAATTTTATCAATATTTAATAAAATATGGTACATTTTCACATATTTCAGTAAAAAAATTCGTTGGATCTACCAAGTTTATTTACTTCTAATTCGATTCATAACAGAAGATAGTCGGAATATAAAGCAGGGCTTTATTTCACTAGGACTCTTCATGGTATTTGAAAATATTCTTTGATTTATAAAATGTGATGCTGAAATAAAAAAAAAATCTCTTTTCAGATTACCTCGTTGACATTGGCCATCATGTACTCCGGAGTGAGTGGTCTTACCCAGACATCGGTGCAAGATATAGGTGGCTCCATATTTATGTTGTCCAATGAAATGATATTCACTTTTTCGTACGGTGTGATTTGTGTATTTCCCAGCGCACTGCCAATTATGAGACGTGAAGTTGGCGAAGGTACCTATTGCTTCTCCGCCTACTATGTGGCAGTCGTTTTGTCCTTCATACCAATGGCTTTCTTCAAAAGCTATATTTTCTTATCGGTTATTTATGGCAGTGTCTATTATGCAAGAGGATTTATATTATACTTGACAATGGGGCTGGTGTTAGGTCTCTCGGCTATTACGGCTACCGCGTACGGTCTCTTTTTGTCGAGCTTCTTTGAGACCGTTACTATGGCTACGGAGTGTGCCGCAATTTTTGATTTGTTATTTCTAATTTTTAATGGCGCTTACTTCAATGTGGATTCGATACCGTATCTAAAATATTTATCATTATTCTTCTATTCCAATGAGGCTTTAATGTATAATTTTTGGATTAATGTGGATGAGATTGGTAAGAGCATAATTGAATTTTATTCGTAATACAGTAGAAGTTGGAGATCAAAATTTATTTTTCTTTCAGTTTGTCCAGAAAATCTGGATCATCCCTGTGTACAAAATGGTGTAGAAGTCTTAAAGCATGCTTCTTTCAAAACAGCCGAATATACTTACTGGGTGGATTGCTTGTGCCTTCTGGGTTTGGCTGTCTTTTTTAATATGGTGGCTTATTGTTTTATAAGAAAGTATGTGAAAAGAAGTGGTTACTATTAGAATTTGTAGTAAATTTTTTAAAGACATTTGTTGGACAATAATTATATGTATAAGTAACTCAATCAATTTCTATTATAACCCCACTACTACTGTAATATAAAAATGAATTTAGACATTTTTGTATACAACTGATCATAGAAATAATTCTTAAAAATGTTCGATTATTAATTAATATTTTGTGAGCGTGAATACTGACCCGTAAATTAAGGGTGTTATAAACTAAAAAAGCCGATTTTTGGGAGTCAATGAAAATGATGATGCAGTGATTCCGGCCTTCTCCAAGAATGAAACAAAATTCGTACAATTACCTACAGCCGAAACAATTGACAAAATGGCGGCGTTCAAAAATTTCAATTTAATCTAAAATTTTAGTTGTTTTTGGTCTGCCAAAATTTGATTTTGGATCTGATCAAAAAATTGTTAGGTCATTGTTTGGAGAACTAACACACATATATACAGAAAATACAAACAAAAAAAAAAAAGATAATAATTGGGTCATCTGTCTCCGAGTAATCACTAAAGCAAATTTGAAAAATTTAGTTTTGAGAAACACGCGTTTAAATGTAAACTGATGGAGCTGCTTAAACTGTGCGGCTGAAATTTAGAAAGTTGTAACTCGTTTGAGATATCGATTTAAAATTTAAGCATATTATTTTTATATATATAAAAAAAGTATAACCTATTGAAGCATATAAAAAAATGATTATTTTTTATTTTCACACTAGATGTAGCCCTTAATGAAGTAATTCTCGAAACTTTTGTATCTTTGGAGAATGTTAATCAATAGGATGTGTTTTATAATATTATACAATGGAACAAGATTTGCTCAAAACTTTCTAGTTTTATTAGCATAAAATAAAGACATATGGATAACTCATGTACGTAGTATTTTATGGATTATAATAGCCTAGGTCTAGGTCTCTTATATTTGAGTTTGTAAACGTTCGATAAACTCGCCATTTTTTATTCAGCATATACCACTTACATATGTACTCATGTTTAGTTAGGTAACGGATGCTAATACAAAAGTACAATATGTATAGTACTTTTACTCGCTGACCGCGCGTCCAAAATATGATCTCATTAGCAATAGCATCAACTTTTAACCGTATTAGACTCGTTTGGATGTCCGGTTAAAGCGGAATCGTCGTAAACTCAAAGCCGATAAGCTTTTTAGGGAGGATACCCATATCCTAATTTCAACCGATTGGAAGCGAGCCGGTATTCCGATCTTCTTTTGCGTTCTAGCGCTGAACTTATGCACCTTCAGTGAGCTTGGCAAGCGCTGTTCAACAGCCAGAAGATGTGCAACTGCAAGATCCGATTCGCCCACAGTGAACCGTGAGAGGTCCTCGAAACTACTTGCTGTATCTCGCCGCAATTGTAGGTGTTCTGACTGGACACTGTAGAATAAGTTCAGACAGTGTGCGTTTAAATATTTTGTCGGATGCTCTTTCCCAAAGCTGTATGGAGGAGAGCGAGGTGAAATCAATTTTTCACCTTCCCCTTTATTGTCCATCTTTTTTCAAATTGAGATAGAAATATCTCTAGGTTGCAGTTTCTTGGATTTGTATACCTTGGCTTTCAATGCTTATTTCCATATTGGCTCTCTACGTATATATGTTTGTCGTTCATATACTTGTATGTATGTTTGAATTCGCTTATAGTTTTGAATTTAGAGACGACTGAACCAAAGTGAGTAACCACTAAACTCTATTATCCACAAACTTCTGGAAAGTTAAATGCTCGCTGGTAGAAGGAGCAAAATTTAATTCGATTTCTACTCCTCAGCGTTGCAACTATTCATCTGCTTCGAAACGAGCGGTCGTGGAGCAAACTGAGCTTCCAACTTAACTGTAACAACTGTTTGAGTTGCAACAGTGTGACTAACTAAGTTTTTAGTGGAGCTGTATGATTGCGTCTGTAAAGAATAGTTAGTTGATGAAAAGTATACAAAAAAGAAAATTCATATTTGTAATGAATGTTGTTAGTGTTGTTATTACCCATTTGCACAGAGCTAAAAAGTCAGCGAGGAACAAAGTTTACAGACGTTATCGATTCTTTGTGCGTCTGAATGAAAACAAATGGAACAATGAAACGCTTTAGAATACGAAAGTTGCATAAATTTCTAGCTGAGCAAGTAGCATTGAAATCTTAATATGTACATATATATATATATATATATATTCATATACATATACATATATGTATATAGATATAATTATATATATTTTATTTATGACTGTAAGTATAGAATAGGGTGAACCACGTAGGGAATAAAAAGTTTGTGTACTGGGCTATGAGTTTGTCGGATGTTAATCATCTTAGTTTCAAGTGAGGACCCTGAGTACTACTTTCGGAACCAATACCGAAGGATTCTATAAATACCTTTACAGTTAGCTTAATGCGTCTCGGAACGTACTTTATAGCTACAAGGGAAGATTTAGGTTAGGTCATATCGTAGGGCTGTTCATGGCGCGCAAGGTGACACAGGACCCAATTTGAATAGCGGTGAACGGTGGTTCTTTGTGATTTCCAAAACTTCTAAATATGGATCACCAGACTCTTACATATCAACGAAGGGCTTGGAGCCAACCACAAATGTGTTAAGACGGTTAATATCAATTTCAGAAACTTCGCCGAATTCGTCGAAAGTGTGTCTACCGAGATATTTAAACCTCAGTCCGGCGAAAGATAGACAGTTGAAAAGAAAGTGTCTAGAGATTCAACTTCGCTTTTTTTTATACCACTTTGGCAATTTGAGCTCGACAAGATACGTATGTAACCTCATTGCTTGTAGGTCTATTGAATAGTCTCCAGTCAGAACAGTCTTACCATGGCCGCAAGATAAACCTCGTTTAAAGCAATTAATTCAGAGAACCTTTTACATTCCACTTTGGATCTTGCAACCACGCAAGCTTTGGTTTTTGACCTGCGCTTGCCAAGCTCACCAAAGAACAGCGGAGTACCGACTCGTTTCCAATCTGATGAAATTGTGGTAAGGGCACCCTCTCTAGCAAGCTTATCAGCTTTGCAGTTTCAAGCGATTCCGCTGTCACCCGGCTATAGGAGTGAATACACACCTCTTTGAAGGAAGCTGCACTTCGCAGCAGTACATCTACTGTTACCTTGATAACAGCCACCTCTGCTTGAGTGGAGTTTTGGGGTTGATATTCATTTTATCAACTGCCTGTAATTTTACACCTAAGCCGTTTTCGTTTCGACATCGCTGATCCACTTCAGACTTTACTATTTGTAACGATGATCATTCCTGTCGACTACTACTTCTATACTACTGAACTAGTACAAGTATGTAGGCAAAAGGATTCCGTTAGCGCAGTTCTCTTTATGTTTTGAGCGGTTTTGATTTTCAAAATCTGCCTTAAAAAGAACTCAAATGCGGATATGGTTGGCTATGCATAAAAACTATATTATAAAATATCGCTCTGAAACTTATAAATCGAAACCAAAAATTTTCTGCTGGGAATCGCCAAAGAAACTCACATATTATACGTAAATATAATAGAATACGTTTATTACTTATGCTTTTATATTTACATATATATCCAATACTCACTTTAGTTTCCAAATACATATACTCGTACTTAGCACAATATGCTTTCACCAATAAAAGTACAAATGCAAGCGGCTAAACTTTTGCTTGTGTCAATGAGCAATCCAACTACTGCCATTCGAATTCAAACTAACATAACTCAATGAGTGTCTCTATGCTAAGGAGCAGACATACTCGTATGCACTTATACTGCCACCGAGAAGAAATCATTTTAGCCAAGAAGCTGCAACTAAAATTACTAATACCAGTGAGCTCACAGCATCATCGACAGCACACAGCAACATGAATATCCTTGGAACGTAAGGATAACAAGCTGGGTGGCAAAATGCTTCGTTTACAAAAAGTAAGTTCCAAGCTTTCAGTGTACATATGTACATATGTTCATTTACAAGTATATACAGAAAATAAATGAACTTTCGTCTATATGACTGTTATTGTGTGAAAAGTTTGTGACCTCTCCGACGCCTTGCTAGCGCTTGTTAGGCAACTAGTAGTGAAGACTAGCATCGTACAAGTATTAATACTTATGTATGGCTTTCGTAGACACATTAGACTGGTGGGGAAACAAATGAAATTTCAAATCCAAAATTTCAAATTTTATGAAATATTGTATGTCAAACATTCGAGTTTCTACTCAGTTAAAAGTTCTTTCCGCAAAAGTAGTTTGCGAGCAAAGCATAAACAATTTAAATCTTTAAACATGAAGTATTGGACAATATTCGTATAAAATTGAATAAAGAGAAGTTTTTAAATAAACTTATGAAGAGCCCAACCGAGATCTATAAAAATTATATAAAAATGATTTAAGAAGGTTAAAAACAAACAAAAAAATATTTTTATCGTAAATTTTGCTGTCGTGGTAATTTTGGTGAAATTGTTTTATCCTGAGTTGACTTTATTAGGATGCCCGGTCAAAGCGGAATCGCTGGTAACTGTAAAGCCGATAAGTTGGTTAGAGGGGGCACCCTTGCCCTGCTCACATCGGGATGGTAACGAGTTGGACAAGCGCCGGTCGATGACTTGCTCCTGTGCGATTGCAATATTCCGTTGGGCTAGAGTAGAACGCGAGAGATCCATTTAACTACTTGCTTTTAGCAAAGTTCATATTGCCGCAAATCGCAGAATTTTTCGGAAGATTTTTCGACCAGTCTAATACCCGTGTTATGTATAAATGTAGGACCTTTTAAGCATGTATATAAGTATTTAAGTGTGTTTATCTACAAATAAATATAAATGAAATACGAATATTTCGAATTGTTCTGTTCACATTCTGTGTTGTTTTGAAACTGAACTCAGTTTTTCAATTATAACTTTGATCGAAAAAAGACAAAAGTACATACTATAGTCGTGGTTCTTATACAATGTGACTACACATAGTGGCACATGTTAGTCATACGAATAACTGCTTACTTAGTTGATTCAAAGTTCAAGAGGCTGGATGGTCTAGGCGTTTATGGTAATTGTAGTTGTAAGCTGTGAAAGTTTTCTTCATATTTTTCGCTTTCGAATTGTTGACTTTTGTGTAAATATTTGATAAATTTTTTTAATGAATTTGGTAAAACAAAAGTCTTTTTCAAACGAAGTTGTTAGTTGTAGAAATATTGTTGAAATTTTTGAGTTTATGAAAAAATATATTGAAAAATTAGAAAAACCTTAAATTTGGGTGGATCGAAGCTATAATACCCTTTACAAATACAAAAGATTCCTTACAAGAACTTGATTCGGAATGTTCAGTTTATATGGCAGCTATATGCCATACTGATCCGATTTGAACAATTTGTTGGGATATTACACCGTTGCCTTGGACAATGATTTATATCAAAACTCGGATTGATATCATACTATAAAAAAATTGATATACCTATATCTTTCAATTCTATAGCTGTCCGATATCGGCGGTTCTGACAA